TCAGTTCTAACTATATATTGATTATATATTAAGTGTATGAATTCACATTTATACTTGCTCAATAGATGCCACCTCTGATAACACACAATAATTAACAGTAATCCTTTTTATAGAGTACATATGTAAAATGTGTTAGTGATTGCATTGAATAGTCCCCAGTACATGACCTAGAAGTTAGCTGTGCTTGTGCAGAAGTCCCAAGGCCAGCTTAGTGTCTTTTTACTTGTAGAGTCCAGTATTGAGGTGGAGTAGGTTAACTAAAACAGAACCTTCACTTGCAATTTCATCATTAATGGGAAATGTGCATCTCTTCTTTCCACAAAACCTGGGTTAAGGGTTACCATTTACTAGTTAATGTGATCACTGGAATAGGAATTACAAGTGTTTTCAAATGGATGATGGTTTATAATTCCTATGTTGAGCCTACTAGTCCAGTATTGGACACAGAGGAGGAGCTCACTGATAGAAGCAGTTATAAGATCTTAAATTTTTATTTCTATATAGTCTATGCTGTATGTTAAGTACAGGTTTCTATGTGTGGAACATGAGAAAGGAAACTGAGAAGACATTCACTCAGGTGCAGCTGTGTAGCATTTAAATGGCACATCAACAGGAAGGAAAGAGAGGTAGGATGATGTCATCTTTTTAAAAAATCCTCACCTGAGGATATTTTTCCATTTATCGTCAGATAGAGTGGGAGAGAGGGAGACAGAGAGAAACATTGATGTGAGAGAGACACACCGATTGGCTGGCTCCTGCACGACAACTCCAGGGCCCTGGACAGAATTGCAACTGAGGTACATGCCCCTGACAGGAATTCATCCCGAGACTCATTGGTCTGCAGGGCCAATGCTCTAACCGCTGAGCCAAACTGGCCAGGGCAATGTCATCTTATTTTCATCACAGGCCCAGTCAGCTACAGCCTGTTTACATTTAGTCTTGATATACTTTTTTAGCATTATATAGTCCATCTTCGGTAAACTAAAGTTATATTTCTTTCCAATGTAGGGATTCGTGGCTATATAGACTATTTGAGTTAGCAAAGACTTACAATTATTTTTTTTTAATAATAGTTTTCTCATAAACAATTTGTAAAACTAGCTGGCATAGTTTTTATTATCTTAAATCAACTTGTAGTATCTTTTTATAAGTGTCTGGTGAATTATATGTATATCAATATACAAATATATTTAGGATATGCATGCACTTATATCAGACAAATTACATAATTCTAAAGTTAATTCCATCCACCCCTCCCCCCTGAACTTCCTAAAAGTGTATATACATTTTATAAAATTCAAAACAAGTAGGAACAGAAACTCCAGTAGCAGAAAATAACTTGGTAAGTGCTACAGGAAACTATAAAGAGCACATGGGACGAATAGACATTATTAAAACTTCAGGCTCAAGACACTTAAGCTGGTGTACACAATAACCTGCCCCTTTAAACTAGAGGAATTTCTTTGAAAAGAACCAAACATAGCAAGTATACATAGTCACATTATCTGTAACATGTCCAGGGTAATTACTGAGAAGTCTTTATTTTTCTAAAAAAATAGTGAAGAATTAGTATTACTTTTCAGTAAGTGACAAATATTTTTTTCACTTTAGCTGTTATGGAATTGCAGTGGGGCTAGATGTGTAACTATAGTGTCATAACAGATTGAGAAAAAGTCCAATTATGTATAAGCATCACTTAAAATTACTTGGAGAAATAAAATTCAGAATATATGTCAAATATTTCATACAAAAATGACAGTACAAAAATCATGGACTTTATTATACATTAAAACTCTCCTAACAGTGCATTTCCCAAAGCCTTGTCAGGGAATATCTATTTTGACAAAATGAAAAAATAAAGTTCTCCACCCAACATGTATACCACCATTACATAAAGCTGAGTTCTTCAAATCCAATTCTAAAGGTAAATGTAGCATGAATTTAATTGTATGCTGCATGATTAATAGTATCAGTGAAATAAGAATTAATCAATTCACTTACATTACAAAATCACCAAATATACAAAGCAGTTTTACACATCAGTTATAACTTAATCTCATGTTAATGAGATTAATAACTTAGTTCTTATATTAACTGAAGTAAATTACATATGAGTAGAGCCACAAGAGATTGGTTAAAAAGTATAAGATATTTCCAGTTTCAAATTTTTATGTATTATTTATTAATGTAGAAGAAAATCTCCTGAAAGAGTAAACTAAACTTGCCAGAAATAAAATGAAAGTCTTGACTGCTAAAATCAGTGTTTGAAAATTAAAGTATAGTTTGAATGCTAGGAGGTTGTTGTCAAAACTAATGTTAATATTTTCATTTTATTAATTCAGGTGGCAGAAGGTTTTATATAACAAATGGGCTCTTAGGATATGTCAGCATTTATTATAAGATTTAAATCTAAAATACTTCAAGTTCCTATATGTAAATCAAAATTAACTCCAATGCCTTTACTACACAAGATTATATGTTACACAGAATGTTATGCACACTTTATTATCCTTTTTCCAAGCACAAAGGTAAAATAAATCTACCATCCATAGACTGTAGAAACTGAGAATTCTTTTGAAATTAAACACAAAGTAATCATTGTAGACATGGCAAAAACTAGACTGGCTTTGGGTATTCTGTTTAGTAAAAGTTTTGAGCATTTTAAAAGGGAGAAGGAATGGGGGGAAAAGGAGAAATGTCTGCAACAAAAATAAATTAATAAAAACTGGAGGAAAAAAACAAAAAAATAATAAAATTTAAAAAAAAAAAGGGAGAAGGAATAACTTGATTCCTATCTATTGACTTCATTACCATAAGTACAAAAGAACGGTTCATATAGGTAGTAGAGTGCATAGCAAAATTAGGTAGACTTAATTTATTCTTTCCTTTTAAAGAACCAGTTTTGTTAATTTCTAAACCAAAACCAAAAACAAACAAACAATAAAAAACATTAAGTGTAAGTTTGAATCTGAGTAATAAGAGATCCCAAAATCTAGTTCAATAAACACCAAAGCATCCCATACCTAGAAGGGGTTTCAAAGGGTAACAAAGATCAATTTTAACATTATGCAGAAACCCATGAGCAACCTTCTTTAATAAAAAAGTTTATTAAAGTTGATGTTTAAATATCCGCAGTAATGAAATAGTTCATATAGTACTATAGTAATGGAACAGAAGGTGAAGCATGTAAAATTATTAAACCATACATGACTTCTGTTTGGCATTGGAATGTGCTTTAGTCTGACTTATGGACAGGGGTGTGTTATTATGGAAATTCCTATCAAAACGTGACTTAACGGGAACTGTAAGTCTGTCTAGCATCCCTATGCCTTCCAGTACCCTTATCTCTACCCCACACTCTGATCCAATGTGTTAACAAAGGGCAGTACTTTGCTACCATATAAAGCACCAGCCTAGTAAAACTGCTTCCTATTAATGACCACTTCCCTTGTAAGGTGACAAATTTCATATGAGTTAAGAGAGTTGACAACTTAATAGTATAAACAAAAGATTTAATGAAACAGAACGCTTACTGATACTCAGAAAGGTCCCAAAAACATGACTTGGAAGACTAATCAAGTGCTGACCACAGGAGAAATGTCAACTTCTATAAAAGGACTGATTATACAAACTACTGTGGAAGCATTCCCTTCAGTAAGCACAAAATAAACTTTTTTCAAAGAGTATCCATACATTTCTACTTTTTTTTACTAAATGTTTTGGTAACATAAGGCTTCAAAATAATGATTGTCGAGTAATCATTATTCCCATTTGGCACATGGATAAAAGAGTATCATAATCTTACATATAATTACCTATCCCAATCCTACAGAAAACAGTGTGCATACAGTGTGAAACAGTCACACTATATTAGAGAACTAAACAAATGCTATTTCTAATTCAGAACTAAGAAGAAAAGTGTACATAAAAAAACAAAAAAACATTTTTCCCTTTAAAATTAGTCTTAGTGGCTAATCTCTTGAAAATGTTAATTGTGTAACTATATAAAATAGTTCATTCTATATAATTTGGATAATATGCTTTTATATGTCAAACATAGGAACATAATTTCTATCAGCAATGTTAAAAATATGAGTAAAGAAAAAAAAATCAAGTGTTGACATAGAAGTAGGCAGTAGAGAAATGTTATTTTAACCTTGACACCATGCTAAAATCCTTCCTTGGTCAACTCTCCTATTCCAAGCATTCAATTCCTTTTCAGTCTTTCATGTAATTAGACATTTCACTCATTTGAAGAATACAAGTATTTACAATAATTAGTGCAAATTATTCTATTCTCATATATTAGTTATTTGCCTTTGTGGATATAAAGTGGTGATCAGTATTTTATCAAAACATGGGATTATGAAAATACTATAGGTATATGTCTGAAATTTAGAAGACTGCATTTTTTAAACTAATCTCTGGGAATTTTTACTTCAAGCAGAAAACATAACTGTTATAGAACTTCTTTTGAAATGTCACTTGATTTTCAATAAAAATTATCTCACTTAATGCAGAAAATACAATGTATTATCCTGTAACAATATCTTTACATGTTAAATCCTAATCTAAAATGTACTTTAACAACAAAAAAAATCCCTTTTTATAAATTCCAAAATCTTATTTCAACCATTACTGCTCTGCAGCAATAATTCAAGTTCGAACCTGAGAACTAAGAATATGATAATAAAATGCCCAAGGCTGTATCAGTAACTGAACTGAAGACATTTAAGCTTCTTTCCCAATGGCATCAGGTGTAGTACATCAGAGAAACGTGAGCAATCCAAGAGACTGCCCTGAAATCAACAGTACCACCTGCCACAGTTTAAAACCTTAAGTCTAAAATGTCTTTTCTAATTATTTATAAAAGTTCTATTGCACATTTAATATTGTTAAAATATTTGCAAACTTGTAGAATTCTCTATATAAAGGGTTTTGAACCTATTTAGTCGAAAGCTTCCTCACTACCAACAAATTATCTTTTTTTTTTTTTTTTTTTGAGAGTATATTAAAGCTGGGAACAATGAAACAAGGAAGAGCTTAGGACAGAAGAACCAACAGGAGAGCCTAGGCGGGGCTGCTTCGGCGCTCTAGAAATGTCACAGGAGAGAAATGAGCCTAGGAGGAGCTGCTTTGGCTCACTGAGAAATAAAAGTCACAGTGAAAAAAGTGAGCCAAGGAGGTGCTGCTGTCAGCTCACTGGGAAGTCAGAGCAAAAGGGGCCTTGGGGACAGGTTCAGGGGGTTAGGTTGGGATGAACTGCGGATACCCATTGCTCCCCTGGTTGCAAGTCTCATGGGGTCCCTTAGAGTTTAGGAGGTACACACCTGTGGGGTAAGAAGCAGGAGAAGGGAAAAGCGTACCACCAATAAAATGTTATTAATTGAAGAGAGGAAGCATAAGCATGAATATCTGAAGCTGAAGAATAAATGATTTCTTACGGCCATAGCCAGTTACAATGCAAGATGACAAATTCACAATTTGAAGGAAAAAAGGCTTGAACAAGTGTAATTCCTCAGCAATCTACTTGAGGGAGATGAACAGGATTCTTTTAGACATGTGGAATTTGATGTTACTGCATAGTGTATTATTTTTCAGGAAAGGAAATCAATGCAAACCTAATTCATCAAGGTCAACCTGATTTTTAAAAACAAAGTTAAAACAAACAAGCAAATATAAACTTTAGTCTCCTCCTTGACATTTCAACATAGTTGTTACCAGGTGTCATTTCACCACAGAAATTGTCAATAAATTTGAAGGGGGAATTATCAACCCAAAGCAAGGATAAGTTTATGCTTCTGACTCTCTCTTCTTTCCTTCTTCTCCCAAATCACTCTCTTCTGATTGGCTACTGCTAAGGACAACAAACTGCCCCTCACTACTGGCTTGGTTTGGTCTACTGGAAGCAGCTATCAACCGACTTTGTTCTTCTAAGTCCTAGTGGAAAAGACAGAGAAGAAACTATAAGTTAATTGTTTGCAATCAAATGGAAAACTATGAAGTTAAAATACATACTTAAGAACCACTACAATCCTTCTGTCATAAATATAATGCATAATTCTGGCAACTTACTGAAAAGAAAGGCTACAACAACTAATGCAGCACCAAAGTGAATGCTGGTTCCATTCTAGAAATCCTGTAAAAGCCAACATTTCCTTCTTCTCCATTATTATGGTCAATAACCAAATTCAGGCCATCGTTCTCTCTCACTCTACCCCAGTAAAACACTCAAAATGGATCACTGCACATCCCCTCCCTTCCTCCTCTGCAGCCCTCTTCTCCATCTCTGTCCAATTTATCATGCTAAATTAGTCGTCACCTTTCCTCAGCCTAATCTGTCAAGGAAGCCTTGACTTCAGTGTCATCTTTGCCACCTCCCTCTCCTTTGTCCATACATCCACTCCACTGGCAATTCCTGCTGATGTTCTCATTAAGTATCCCAGTTATCTCATCTTTTCCACTGCTGTCAATGCCACACCCCATAACTGGCTTTTACAATCTCATGTATCACCTATCTAATGCATTCTCCATATTTTGTTCTAAAATTTATCTAGCTTAAAATTATCCTATTGGATGGTCAAAGATTTGACACTCCCAGTAACATTAAATATTTATATATTATATATATTATGTATATATAATATATACATTCCTAGAGGCCAATGTGGATTTTGGCAATAGCAGTTAAGTGTATATGACAGAACCTCTCAAAAGACCTGCTTTGACAAAGACAGCCTTCACTGGAATATGGAAACATGAAAGTTCTAATATGTTTGCTAAACGACAAGCTACTCTACATGTCAGTGCAACTATAATGTAAACATCTTATCAGAAGACAGATGTCATCCTTGTCTGCTATGCTATGAATCCTCTGGTTATGAAGTAGCTGAAAAAGGAGAAACAGACCTTCATTTGGAATGAAGTCACAGAGCTGAATTAAGGAAACTTTTACAAAGTTCACATCAGAGAAGATCCAGACATTAGGACTGCATACCTTTTCAATTTGTTTTTGTTTACTGAGTTCTTTCTGTTGCTTCTCTTTTACTCTCTCTATTTCTTTTTGTTTTTCTGATGCCCTACGATCCTGAAGAACAGATGAATACAACTAATGAATTAAATATGAAATAACTTTAAATTTAGACTTTTCAATTAATATTACCTTTGTAACCTTTCCAAATTATTTTCTGCATTTATAGTGCACCAAAAATTTACATTCTATGTTAGCCATTTACCCAAACTCTAAATGCCAAATCAGCAGTAGTATCCAATGTTAACCTTACTTAGCAAAATAATTTTATTTATCTGCCAATATGAAAAATCCTGCATTACATTAATTAACATTCTTGGATAATTAAGTGTCTTGGATTCTTACCAGTTCTGCATGCAAAGCTATCTGTTTTGCCAGTCCAACAGAATCACAAATCTAAAAGGGGAAAAAGTAGAAAAAACTCAGGCAGTTCTTATATCAAGGTAATAATTTCAAGTATCCAAATGGCAGATGTAACTAGTTTTATAACTCATTATAACACACTGCTTCAAAAAACTGATTTAAGAATGTTCCAAGCTCCAAACCAAGCCTTAGTGTATTTTCTTCTGAGTCTCAGTTTCAACTGCTGGCTGTCACCTTTTTAACGTAACCCACTTCTTATTATCTCAAATTCATTACTGAGATGGTAAGGCCTGCAAAGAATAAAGCAAGCAGCTACTAATGCTACTCTAATCTGAAGATATCTGAAAATAGCTCATATGGGAATGTACTGTATTCCCAGGATACATTAATGAAGCCAGATTGCACTAGCTATCAATGGCTAGAAAGATATAGGTCTAAAAAACTCGGAAGGCCTACCCAAACCGGTTTGGCCCAGTGGTTAGAGTGTGAGCCCATGGACCAAAGGGTCATGGGTTTAATTCCCAGTCAAGGGCATGTACCTGAGTTGCAGGTTTGATCCCTGCCCCGGTCGGGGTCATGTAGGAGGCAACCATCAATGTCTCTCTCTCACATCAATGTCTCTCTCTGTCTCTCTCTCTCTCTCCCTCCCTCCCTTCCACTCTACATGAAAAATCAATAGAAAAATATCCTTCAGTGAGAATTAACAAATAAAAAAGAACTCAGAAGGCCCAATACATCAGCTCAGCTCTCTTCAGAGCAACAGGCTTTGTTCAAGCATCTCGGTTGGACTAGGCAAAGTTTGCATTTTTCCCAGAAATCTTAGTAAAAATTTTTGACATGATATGTATTTCACAACAGAGACACATTTTGAAAAGCCAGGTAGGTACCTTTTCCCCCTCATTGTTTGATTCAAATATATAGCAGACGGATGACAGATGACTTTCACTTCTCCCTCCAGATGTGCGAAGAACAAATCCAAAAAGTCTCTTATTTTCCTGGTGTGTAGCATACAAAACTACACTAGGTAATGGAAACTGTCACAGAAAACATCAGAAGCAAACATGAGATCTTTCAAGCCATTACAACAGCACTCTCATACATAACAAACTCATGCTAAGTTATAAAAATATCCTAAGTAAAACATTAGAGCCAGGTGTTTTTTTTTTCCTTAACAGAATGGCAATCCAAAAACAAATAATGTCATATTTGGTTTCAATTGCCAGGAAGAATAAGAGGTTGTTGAATACTGAATTTGTTTTATTAGTCATTAACAAATTTTACAAAGTCAAATTCAAGAACAAAAGTGGTGTGTGTGTGTGTGTATAATAAAATGATTAAATAGAACCACATACGTGCAATTATTTCAAAATAGCTAATTATAAAATAAACTCAATCATATTCCCCTTTTAATTCCTACTATTAGTTTCTTTTTTTCTTTTAAATTAAAATTTTTTTTTCTCATTTATTGATTTAGTGAGGGAGAGAAAGAAAGAGAGAAAGGGAGGGAGAGAGAAAGAGAGAAACATTAATTTGTTGTTCCACTTATTTATGTATTCATTGGTTGCTTCTTGTATGTGCCCTGACTGGGGATTGAACCTGCAACCTTTGTAGGTTAGGATGATACTCTAACTAACTGAGCTACTTAGCCAGGGCAACCCTACTATGTACTAGTTTCTTCAGTGTATGATATATACTCCCTAACTAAGGGATAAACACTACATATCACACCAGATTGCACTGATTCTTTAAGTTACATGACAGCCTAAAGACTAATTATAATTGATATTATCATATCTGAAAATACAGAATCAGGATTATTATAAAGATGTAAAAGATGTGTTTATGCTGCCCTGGCCGGTTTGGCTCAGCGGTTAGAGCAACGGCCTGCGGTCCGGAGAGACCCGGGTTCAGTTCTCGCTAAGGGCACGTACTTCGGTTGCAGTTTATCCCCGGCCCTGGTTGGTCGTGTGGGTGGCAGCCACTCGATGTGTCCCTTCACATCAATGTTTCTCTCTCTCTCTCTCCCTTCCTCTCTCTCCCTCCCACTCTATCTGCACAAAAAATGGAAAAATATCCTCGGGAGAGGATAAAAAAAAAAAAAAAAAAAAGATGTGTTTATGCTCAAAGAGATTTAAAGCTTTAAACATGCAGAACTCACCGTGAGCCTTGTAACCTGTGTCTGTGGATCAATTAACCTATAATAATTAAAAAATTTGAACACATTTTAATTAGGCTGAAATTACATACACATTTTTTCTATAGTTTTTTGAGGGAGAGGTTACTACTTACTTCAAACAATCACAAGTAACTAATAAATGTGATTCTGTCATACGAAAGATGTTATGGATGGCCCGGGCAGCTAAGATTTGGCGCATTGTTTCATAAACAACATCTGGACTGTCATCTGATTTCACCTCCATAGAACCAAGGAATCGAACAATAAATAACTGATGAAGAATAGACTCTATGACAGAAAAAGGTATATTATGTGTTTTTTAAAGTTATTTTTATTGTTGATAGTATTAAAGATGTCCCTCCTTTTTTCCCAATTGACCCCCTCCCCCCTTCTCCCACCCCCTACCACCTTCTTCTCAAGAACTTTGAAAATATTGTGACCTAAAGATAGGACTGTCAGCTTTCTTCTGCAATTTTAATAGCAAATATCTAAGAAGATATGATAAGCAATTCAGAATTAAATATTTTTAAAAACTAAATTACCTTAACTTATTTATCTGGGACAGAAAACAAAGAGGAAAACCTGCCATGATTCTTCCCCAACTATCAATACCTAAAGAATAAAATACACTGCCTCCTTTTAGATTTTCCAGTGAAAAATTCAACCTAGCAGAAGTATTCAGATAAATTTAACTACAGAGTTCAAGTTACAGGAAAATTAAGGTTTCAAATTCAAATAGCAGATAATGCTTCAACAATTGGTGGCTCTGACTAAAAATAATCCCTGTACTATTCTTGAAGCTTTTCTGTAAGTTTGAACTTAAATAAAAATAAATAGCTGCTAGAGAAAAAAAAAAAAGTTTTGCTCCAGTTCCAGAAGAAAACATCTGCTGTTAGGAAAAGCTTAAAGGACATCTTATGCATTGAGACTTTGACTAAGGGGTCAAAAGTATAATATTCTATAATGTTGTGTGAATAACAAAATCTTAAGTTTAAGTTCTGTTGCTTTAAGTGTACTTTGAGTAAAAAGAGAAAATTGTAAATAAAGACACCATTAAAGCAGCATCCAGCAGAACAAATGTAAACACCAAATTCTTCACACAGTCTACTACTCAGAACTTCTGAAACATAAGAATACTGCACAGGTCTGTTTTACCTTCAGTTTCAGATTTTCGACTGCCTCCAGATTCTCCAAATGGATTTGTACGCCTGAAAAGTTTTTTAAAAATTATGAACCAACAGTTAGTTATAATGAGTCACCTGGAAGTAATATTACTGAAACCAGAGTTAAAAACGAAGAGTCACAAAACCTTGTACATACATTTAAAATAAAACTCTAATACCCCATCCTGCTAAGGAACACTAATGATGAAGGCCCCAGCACTCCCATTAAGTTAATAGGCTGAACTGAGAAGTTGCTGCATTTTAGTAAACGTGGATGGCCCTAGCCGGTGTGGCTTAGCAGTTAAGAGTGTCGGCCCAAGGACCAGAGTTGCGCGTTTGATTCCAGTCAAGGGCACGTACTTCGATTGCAGTTTGTCCCCAGCCCTGGTCAGGGTCGTGTGGGAGGTGACCAGTCAATGTGTCCCTCTCACATCAATGTTTCTCTCTCTCTCTCTTTTCCTCTCTCCCTCCCTCCCACTCTATCGGAAGATAAATAGAAAAATATCCTCAAGTGAGGATTTAAAATTAAAAAAGATCATATTTTCTAATAAACCTACAGCATACTTATTACTCTCAAGAACTTTGAAAATATTGTGACCTAAAGATAGGACTGTCAGCTTTCTTCTGCAATTTTAATAGCAAATATCTAAGAAGATATGATAAGCAATTCAGAATTAAATATTTTTAAAAACTAAATTACCTTAACTTATTTATCTGGGACAGAAAACAAAGAGGAAAACCTGCCATGATTCTTCCCCAACTATCAAAAGTATGTTAGGTAATTAAATAAGATACAACACAGCTGATGCACATGGTATGTAAGCGATGGCTCTCAACACAGAAATGGAATCATAACCCTTACAGACCACAGCACAATATTCCTGTGATGTCATCACCCACCTGCCTCCCTGGCCAGAGGCTTTCCCCTGCCCAGGCTGATCTTCACACACAGGAGAAATGATGTCAAACTGTATTGGGGTGTCTGGAGCAACAAGAGAATCTAGAGAGAGAGCAGCCAAATTTGTGGACTCAGATCCTAAAGATCCCGAACTGCTGGTTCGAGCAGTCGATGGTCGAGATTGCCTAACACAGAAAAAAAACAAGAAGGCGTTACATTTCTTTTGGAAATTGAACACTTAAACTATAAGAAAAGAAACTACAACTTTGCAAGTGAATGGGAAGAGTAGAACAAATTTTAATAGACATAATCCCAAATCATAGCTACTTGTTTAACAATAGACCTCTTTCTTTCCAATTATTAAATTGAAAAACATAAATCATCTCAATCTAGAGATAAACACTAAGAAAATTTAGAAACAGTTATTTAGCACTCTTGCTGGCAAATTTACAAATTTGAAAATACAATTTCTACATTATTCGGGAACTATTTCATACTAATCTAAGCAGCACTGCTAAAATCAAAGTGTTCACTATCACTTTCAATACCCCATATAGTTCTCTTGATAACCCACAGTCTGGTGACTCACCCTGCGGGCCGCAGGCTCTCGTGCCTCTGCTGGAAAGATGGGGAGGGAGTGACGGCTTCCAAAGCTGACTGATTTACTCGTGCAGCAGTTTCCTATTTTTTTTAAAAAAGGACTAACATTAGTAGTAAAGCAAGACAACCAGAAGTTTTAATATAACTCTCTGAATTGTCAGAATGTTCCTGAGTTACATATAAAATGTAAATTGGAATTACTAAAGTAGTTCCATGTACTTTGTCTTATTAAGACATAATTAACTTTGTAGCATTATAACTTGTTTCCTCTTAATTGCTGTGAATGTGGAGAGGGGGGAGATCTGACTTTTTTCTACCATTATACATATTATGATACATTGTTTTTACTAAATAAAGAAATTTAGAAGGAATAGGAAATAGTCACAAAATATAAAAATATTCTATAACTATGCTGCTGAAGTTTTCATTTTCCATACTCTATTTATGCTCAGAAATATTTATATATTTATTAATTGATAAAATTATTGTAGATAATTTCTGACCAAAAATTAAAAGAACACTTTTCATAGGAAATATTTATAAACTTCATTTTCCTTTTTAATGTTTTTTCTTTATTGATTTGAGAGAGGAAGGGAGAGGGAGAGATAGAAACATCAATGAGAGAGAACATCGATTGGCCGCTTCCTGCATGCTCCCCACTGGGGATCTGGCCCTTCACCTGGATATGTGCCCTGACCAGGAATCGAACCAGCGACCTCTTGGTGCATGGGTCAATGTTCAACCACTGAGCCACAATGGCTAGGCTATACACTCATTCTTTATTTAAAACACTGGCTAGCCTGGCCGGTGTGGCTCATTGGATTGATCATCGTCCTATGGACTGACAGGTCCTGGTTCAATTCCTGGTCAGGGCACATGCCCAGGTTTCAGGCTCGATCCCCAGTAGAGGTCGTGCAGGAGGCAGCCAAGTGATGTTTCTCTCTCACAACGATGTTTCTATCACTCTCTCCCTTCCTCTCTCTCTAAAAAAAATCAATAAAAACATACTTTTAAAAAAACCCACTGCTCTACCCTGGCCAGTTTGGTTCAGTGGTTAGAGTGTCGGCCTGCGATCCAGAGAGAGACCCGGGTTCGGTTCCTGCTAAGAACGCATACCTCGGTTGCAGTTTGTCCCCAGCCCTGGCTGGTCGTGCGGGTGGCAGCCACTCGATGTGTCCCTTTCACATCGATGTTTCTCTCTCTCTCTCTCTCTTCCTCCCGCTCTACCTGAACAAAAAGTGGAAAAAACGTCTTCGGGTGAGGATAAAAAAAAAATACAAAAAACCCACTGCCCTGGACAGTTTGGCTCAGAAGTTGGAGCGTTGGCCTGTGGACCAGAGAGTTCTGGGTTTGGTTCCTGCTAGGGACACGTACAAAAACCAACAACAAAAACAACCCACTGTCTAAATAAAATGGCATTTACATTAGAAAAAATAATCACATAATATTTTTACATTTCTGTGTCTTATAGTTAGCAAAAATACCAAAACAATGCTACAAACTGATCAAAATTTCTTCTCTCACTAATCTAGATAAAATAATCCTAAATAATCTGGAAAATATTAATTAAAACTTAAATTCTGATAATTGATAGGAAAGTACAACAAGCCTGCATTTTTCAAGTCCAAACACTGTATTCTCTATGTATTCCCCAGGTATTAACAAGTCATCTAATTTGCATTTTAATTTTTTGTTGCACCAGTAACATTAACACAAAGGAAAAGTTAGATTGGCAGGAAATCAAGTTACTAAAAGCAAAAGGCTTCTCTACAGTGATTCTTAAACTCGTAAGATTATTATAAAACTATTAGAAATTACTAATATTTTGGAGGACTGAGATTTTGGTTCAAAACTTTTTCCTAGTCATTTAAATCATATGTATTAGAGGTGTACCTAAAAGACATTAAGATTAAAAAAAATAAAAACAGAACTCTTCCAAAATGTTCCCTTCACTTGGGTTTAAAACTTGGAAGTCATATTTTATTTGTCTCCTTCATCCTTTACATCACTCCCATTACTAACTAGTCTAGTCAATTTCCTTTTACCTGTTTCTATGATTATTTCTTCTGTTTCCTCAGTTCATACATGAACTATGGATAATAAACTCCTACAATCCCCAGACACTCCCATTTAATCAACCATTACACCAACAGTTTAAGACTTAGAAGGGTGAGAACATTCTAGAGAAATTAGCCATCCCTCTGCCTCAACTGAAATCACTAGCCCCACCACCAGTCCTGGGAGGTGCCTAGGTTCATAGCATAGCTGGGCCCACCAAAACTGGCAGAAGGCCAGGCAGCTCCTGTCCTAAGCCAAGTCTTTGCCCAACTCCACTGCAATTTGGATCCACTTGATTTCTTCCAGAGTTCTCTGCACTCCTGGGTTCTGCTGGTATGCTTGGACTGCACCTATGGCTATGTCTACACTGCCGAGTTTATCTGGTTTGATACCCCTGCTACTGGAAGTGTAATTGGCAAAATTGAGAGTTCAAGCTGCTTCATACCAGACCTACTGAATGCATTTTAAGATCCCCAGATAAGCGGTATGCACATTTCAGTTTTCTATTATTCTCCAACAAGAGCCTTCAAATCCAATTACATGACAAGATTCATTCCGTATCTACATTCTGTTCTCTTATCTGCAATGTCTTCTTTTCCTCAAAACATGGACAAATCCTACCCAACTCAGGTTTCCACCATCTCAACAGTTTTCTCCAAAGTCCACACTGATCTTAACATCTCTAATCTTGAGCTTTTAATCATCACAATATGTTTTCACTTACATATTGTTATATTTGAAATGTTCACGTTTCAGTTTTGTTTTCCCATACACATAGGCTCTAGGAGGACAGAGGCCATAACTTATTTTTCTTCTCTATCCCCCTTTCTTCATGGTGCTCAACACAGCGATAAACACAAGGTCAGGGCCTAGTAATTATTTGTTGATTGACTGATTTCAATACCTTTGAAATAATTTATTGTTCTAGGAAGACCAGGTACTCATTATATACATGATACATTAAAGCTACGCATTTAAGGACAAATGAAAAAATTATAGAACTTGAGAATTATGACTTAATAAAAACTGTATTAACCACAGAATTACTTAGTTTAGCCAGTTCTGGATATGATAAAATGAAAATATTACCTCTGGATTTTCACTTAAATATATTTGTTTAGATATGTTGTTTATTGTACAGATCCACTGCAAAAGGAAAAAATAGGAAAAAAAGTTAATATCTTTTTCTACAATGCTTCTCTTCTAAAAGAGAATGTTCAGTATTTGAATCAAATATAAGTTTCATTAGAAGTAACACATACTCTTTCTTATAAACACCTTCCTATATACATAAGCATATATATGTATAATATTTGAGGGTAAAACAGAACATTTAACAGATTATCTTTAAATCCCAAATTTATTTCATACAAGGAAATAAATATATAGCAATCATGTTAAATTATAATTTAGTAGTCTATATTTATCTTTCTATATTACTTTCCCCTTAATCCCCACCAAACAAGACAGACTGGACTCAGATATCATAACACCACTGCAAAAAAGTTAGGACCTAAATATATTCCTTGTGAATATATTTTACATATTTCCCTTCTTTTGGGTTTATAAAAAATTAACATAGAAAACTTTCTTTGCTTACATATTTTGTTTCACTCTTGAGAATTCCAGTGCCTGATGAGCTCACTAATCTAAACTAACATTCTGTTTGGTAAACCCTGCAGAGAGCAGACATCTGTCTATATTCCTCAGAGACCAAAAGCCAGGTTTTAATACCTACTCTTTTCCACAAGAAATAAAATGTAGATCTCTACATAATTTGTAACCTTGTCTTTTACCAAAACAATTCCAATACCAGATAAAATGGCTCAAAGTCAACCTACAATACATTTTCATTAAAGGATATTTCTCAAAACAAAACTTTTTTAAAAAATGTTTTTATTGATTTTTTAGAGAGAGAGAAAGGGAGAGGGAGGAGAAAAGAGAAACATCAATGTGAGAGAGAAACATTAATTAGCCACCTCTTACATGCACCCTACTGGGGATCGAGTTCGAAACTCGGGCACGTGCCCTGACTGGGAATCAAACTGATGACCTCTCGGTACATGGGACTATGCTCAATCCATTGAGCCACATTGGGCAGGTAAGACAAAGCTTTTGAATCATCATTTCTTAATAATAACTTACCTTCCATATGTGGTGTACTACAAGTAAAATTGGACCCAAAAATAACATACTTGTAAGGAAGAACAGACATTCCCAAATTTTTGTTTTTCAGTCTTTCATTTCCCTAAGGTTTTAAGCTTTAGTTGCTTCCTGCTGTGCCACATCTGCTACTACTATATTCTTAAAGCAGCAAATATTGTCTTAAGAGGGTTGGTGAGAGAAGTGAATAAACCGTCACCTCGCGATACGAACAGCCTGCCAGAAAGCAACAGTCACAAGGTCATTTCTGAATCGGAGCCTTTAAAAAGACTGGAAAGAGATGCTAGTCTCTAACATCTCTCTTCAGAGATCCAACTATAAAATTGTGAAACTTAAGAATGTTGTTTAAGGACAATAAACTTCTATTAAAAAGATATTTTTAATTAACCATATTTTTCAAATTTCTATAATGAACATATATGTTTTGTCATCAGCAAAATATCTTAAGATGTTGCTGAAGAAATTAACTAAATAAAATTTTACCTCTTCATGGTCTTTTTTACTCTCTGCTTGCAAAATTGAAGATCTGAAAGAAAAAAAATTGACTTCATCTTCTTTTAAAGTACTTTTAACATGATCTGAGAAATATTTTTATCTTTACAGGTATATATAAAGCCAATTGGTATCAGAAAAAAAACCAGCCAAAACACATAAAACCAAATAGTATCTTAGGAAAAGGAGACCACCAGAGGCAGCAGGACTCAAATTTTAGCAACGCTTCACTTTGGCTATCAATGCCAAAATGTACCATAAAAGAAACAGGTGCTAGTTTTCAGAAGACAGCCTACAGCAAAAGTGCACTGCAACTAAGACCATCCATTTCAACCTTCTGACACAAACATTTCAAATATAATAACTGACCTTAATATAAAACTAATTTTGCTTCATTACTGATTATTTCTCATTGAATACAGTTAAATAAAATTTTTCAATATATTAATCCCTAACATAGGGATCTTTAGCTTTTCTGTAGATGTTCATGTTTAAGAGTTTGAGGAAAAAATAATTTTTACTATTCTTGAATCAAACAAGGAAAACAAAATGGCAAATCATACTAGGCATCAGCAAAAAACTTAAAACACAAAAAGGTAAGTACTTGTAGTAAATTATTAACAGTTTGATAATTTTGACAAATGAATACAGGGACTCCCAAATATCTAGCATGATAACTGATACACAGTAACTGACATTCATTATATGTTTATAGAAGGAATATGAAATTAAACAATCATTTTTGATAAAAGATAGTGAGCTGTAACATCTTAAGTTTTTTGGGGGAGAGAGGAAGGGAGAGAGAGAAAGAAACATTGATCAGCTGCTTCCTGCACACCCTCTACTTGGGACTGAGCCCTCCTCAACCTGGGCATGTACCCTGACCAGGAAATGAGCCGGCAACCTTTCAGTGCACAGGACTACGCCCAACCAACCGAGCCACACTGGCTAGGGCATGAGCTATAACATCTTAATGTACATAAATATAAGGAGAAAATGACTTTCAGGGAACCAGAGTCGCTCTGAAAAATAAGAAAGATAATAAACAATTTAATTAAGTAGGAAAAATGTGCAGATAACTTAAACATCTATTATTAGGAAAATTTTCAATTATGGTGTATTTTCTTAAGTGGATTATAATGTAGCCATTATAAAATGTTTTTAATAAGTGAATGCAGATCCAAATTATATACACAGTATTTCCTCAACTATTTAAAAACTGTAATTAAAATAAAAATTGTAAGGCAACAGATCAAAATGTTAATTATTGCACTGGTGAGATTATAGCTTTTTTTTCATACTCCTTTTTATATTTTTCTGTGCTTTTCAAAAATTTGTTCTATAGATTCTCATTTAATGTGAAGATAATATAAAATTTTAAAATAGCATATAACCATTAATGGACTAAATAATTTGATCAGAAATATTTATTATTGTTAGCACCTACTACATGCTAGACATGTTACATAGTTAGATTTCAATTTTTCATTAACAATTTACAAAGTAGTTGCCCTGGCCGGTTTGGCTTGGAGGTTAGAGCGTAGGTCTTTGGACCAGAGAGTCCTGGGTTTGGTTCACGTACCTCAGTTGCAGTTAGTCACCACCCCAGTTGGGGTCGTGTGGATAGCAACTAGTCGATGTGTCTCTCTCACATTGATGTTTTTCTCTCTCTCTCTCTTCTCCCCCTCTCCCTCCTGCTCTATCTGAAGATAAATGCAAAAAAAAAAAAAAAAAAAAATTTACAAAGTAGGGATTATGACCTCCCCCCAGTTTTACATGTACAAAAATGGAGCTCAAAGAGGTTATGTAACTTGTCTAAGACTACATAGTAAGGAGTGGGTCCATAATTTGAACTTTCTGACCCCAAGTTTAGGGCTCTTTCCACTAACTTGTTCTGCTTTCCCCACACCATGCAGAATTTTCAGTGACCAGTCTCAACATGAAATCACAGGTCTTTACCATCTGACCTTGTTTTGATAACCTTAAAATACTAAGACATCATTCAACCAACCAGGTCAGAAAGGACTATTCAACTTATTTCTACAAAAAAAATAACCTTAATACATAATAAGCCTTTAAAATACCTGTAAAATGTCTGAGTAAAAAGGAATTATCCTACATTTCAGTAATTTAAAATGTTACAGACTTTATTAATAGTAGGAAAAAATACTAACTTTTTTCCATCAAAAGAGGTGATCTGAAAACAATACCGCCTGTCTTCACAGTCCACAGCCATTACTGAACAGTTGTCTATGTCCATGGCCAAGCCTCCTGCTACGTCCCCACGGGCCTGACTCATTAAGTTTCCACCCTGAGTGAAGTAAAACTGTCTGTCCCAGGTAGATGACACCAAGCCTGTTTTACTAAATGAAGAAAGTACATTCACTCTTTAATAACATACATGAAATCTCATCATAAGCCAGACATAAGATAAAACACATCACAAAGAGTCAGCTTGCAAAAAGGCATCAAGGTGCCCAGAAAATATAAATATCAGTTTTTCAGTCTCTGAAATAAATTTGTATATGCTGACCACTTGTGGGAGTGTGTGCGTATATATTTCCAAAACAAGCCTGGAAATTATCAAACTGCAGCTGTTATAATGATGCTCCATAAAATATAGTTCAAATTTCAAGGATGTAAATTCAAAACAAAATATTTTATTTTACTCCTAGGATTAACCTGTTTTCTCCTCTTTTCTGATAAAAACTAAAATTTGACTCGATGGTATAATTACATATACTTTATGATAAATAACAATTAATAGCGTTCACATTATGCTAATTTACTTACACTCAAATTGATTTCACTTTTTAAAATCTATATTATTCAATAAATATCTAAACAGTTTGTTACTTCTGAAAATTATTCATGTACTCCATATGTCAAAAAGTTCACAGGAAAAATATATTAATATCACTAACTAAAAAGATTCAGCCATTAGTAAAAGCAAAACAATTTGGCAGAAATATCAATTATATATTATATTCACTTGCAACTACCTTAAATGATATACAATATATGAAAATAACAACAGTTTTCTTACTTCCTAGCATTAAGGTATCCGGCCTTTCGGGTTAAGTTTCGATTAACAGGAAATTTTGTGGGATCTGGATCAGGCACATATAAAGGGTCACTGGCTACTTCCAAATCCTCTATTGTCTGCTGCATGTTCTCTACATCACTGTCCATTTCCCTGCGAACACTAACACGGAGAACAGATTACTTACTACCAACCACAACAGACAAAGGACTCCTTACCGATCACGTTTATCTGTAATTTGTTTTATACATATTTTCCTTAAGAGTGCAACAGTGGTATGGGGTAAAGTAACATGAACATGTTATAAAACAGCTTTACATTTCATTTAAAACTTAGATATTTGGAAACAATACTTAATGAAGCCACATTCAATGCCTGACTTTAAAGGAATTTTCAAACTGTTCTCTCCTGTGCCTTTAAAACGACAACCACTTTCACCTCCCTCTATACCTCAGAGATTGACTACATCACTGCTCAGATTTTTGAACCTAATTAGAACTGCTTTCTCTCTCTTTTAAGTTTTCATGGGTTGAAAAACAAGATTTATTTAGTAATCTCCCATCTATCCCCCACAATTCAGGTAACTGTGAAGATAATTCACTTATGGATAATTACTATTAGGTGTCTGTTATATTCAGACATAAAACCTAGTTTAGAATCAATAAAATACCATCTGATTTTACACTGTTAGAAATTCCAAGTTCAGATTTTATGGAAAAGGTGGTGATAAAAACCAAGAAGCGTCCAGGAAAAATAACCCCTCAGAAAATTAAATGGTAAATATTTTCAGATTATGACATTTAACTATTAACTTATCATTCACATAACTTCATTTTCAATTTTAAGGAGAAAATACTTACTTCTGTACACTTGTTCCAATATTAGTTAAGAATTCTTCCAGTTGTTCATTGAGATTTTCAGAACCCATCTTAAAGAAACTTATCTGAGGCAAGAGGGAGTGAGAGTGGGAAGATGAACAATAAAAACACCCACACACATGAACAAAATACTTTAAGTGAATCATTTAAACAAAATGCAAGATATATGGGTGAGTATAAAACAAAGGATTATTCCTATCTGTGTAAAAATAGTTTGTAGTTTATGCCCAAATGACTTCTGGGCATAAAGCCACTGAAGAAACTAAACTTAAATTTTACTGTGCATCCTTTTATATACTAATACATGCATATGGTAAGCAATATTTTAAATTGGAAAATAAATTTCAAAATATTTCAAGTAAGTCATATGATAGACTATTTCATGTTTAATACAAAGATAAAAAAGTTTTATATCTGAGAAATAATAAAACTCATACTTGAAGAAATATTTAAATTTCTTTAAACTCTTACTTTTAGGGGGCTGCCATCTCATCTTTTATTACCCAAATTTAATTTTCTAGCTCCCTTCTTGATGCACTCTGGAGTTCATTAATATCTTTAACTCAGAAGTACACAAGCAACGTGAAACAAACTCAAACTCCTCTTTCCAATCTATTCTGAAGCAAGAGTGAGTGGAAGCTCCAGCAACAGGTGTAACTTGACAATTCATTTAGCTTTCTGTTCCCTGTCCTCCACTGTGATAAATAAGTGGTTTCATTTACCATAAAATATTTGAAATCTTTATCTGCAAGGAAAACCATTCTAACTTCCTTAAAATAACATCCTGATGACATTTTAAAATTACTTTTTAAAACACAAGCATAAAATTGTATTTTGACCTTAGTTGGTAACATAATATCCTTATATTTAACATAAATATCATACTTAATATAAAGCTTTTAGGGCAGTTATAATCCAAAACACAAGATAGTATTCACCTGAGCTTGCATATACCCAAGTAGAGGTTCTAACAATGCTATTTTCTTCTTGTACTGAAGAGTATTTAATGCACAAAAATAATGCATCATGGTCTGGTGTTGTTTTTTTCTGGAAGTATAGACATCTTCTGTTACTTCATATTTCGCCTTTAAGTGAAAAGATTAAAAATACTATTATTTATTTAATTTTGAATTATCTTTAGTAGTGGCTGTGAAGAAGAGCCTATACCCAAGGAAAAAGGTATAGCACAGCAATTGTGTATAGCTTTTTCTTCTGATATTAGAAATCCTGAAAAATATTGGCTAAGATAGTTTTCCTGTTTTACTACTAACCACTTCATTTTAAAACACATTAAAAGTAGAATTCTGCATATAACTAGAATGGTACAATAATAAACTATGCATGGCAGAGAATGTCTACCACACAGAGAAAAGGCAGATAATTGTTTGGTAATAGATTAGCCACTAGTCTTTGACTTGGTCAGTTTACAGCATACCACTCTCTCCTCCTGGTTTCCACCCTACTGCTCCTCCTCTCTTGTACTCTTGTTTTCCTTCACCCGCACTTAAAATATGTGTGCTCCCTTAAGTTCTTGTATTTAGACAAAAAATATTTGCTGAGCACCTATTATGTAATATGTACTAGGCCCTTCTCTCTTCCTGCTTTCCCGAGAATACCAAATCAAGTACAAAGAACATTCCATAGACCAATGACTCCCAAATTTTTACCTCCTGCCCCACACTCTCCCAAGTGTCAAAGGAAGCACATGTCCACCAGGGCTCTTCATGGTGTATGGGGGGTGGGGGAGTTCTGTGTGTGTTAGAAATGTACAAAACTAAAGACAGCATCTTCTTCTTCAAAACCTGCTTTTCTACTTCGTTTTTTAGTTCTCTTAATTATTTCAAGATCCATCCTATCATCTAAGAATTCTAGGACTCATTTTTTATTCCTCCTCCTACCATATATAAGTCTTATCAATTCTACTTAAGAACTACCTTCCAAAAATATTCCTTCCTCTCTACTTTTAATAACAAGCTTAGCTAAGACTCTGCTAATGTCTTTGCAAACTACTCTGATGCCTTTTCTGATTTCTCCAGTGGCCCTCTTCACATTTCCATTAGTATTTTCATCCTGTAGCACAATTGCACAGTTACTCACCCACTTAAGAGTCCTTTGGTGGTGGCCCACTCCCTCTAACACAAATTTCCAAGACATTAGCATAGCAATCAGGCCCCAAACTACTACTTATCATCTTTGCCATACCTCCCCAAAGACATCCTATGCCCCAGATATGCTAAAAGAATTAATCTTTCCATTATCATAATAAATACTGCCAGAGTTTTATGAAAACATGCTATAAGTCAGATACTCTGAATGCATCATGTCATTTCATCCTAACAACTACTGAGTTTTTTTGAGAAAGAAATTAAGTCTTGAAACTAAGTAACCAGTGTGCGACCTCATGCAAATAAGTGGCAGAGGTGAGATTTGTCCCCTAGCAGTATAACTCCGGAGCCAGTGCTCTTAAACCTTAACACTCTTCAAACTCTACCAGGTACTTCTGCAAAAGCTGTTTTTCCTCCAGGAATGCCCTCTCCCCAGACCCAAACCAGTGAAGTCCATTCATCTTCAATGCAAATGTCACCTCCTACAAGTGAAACCTTTCCCAATTCACCAAAGTTAATTGCTGCCTTCTCTGTGCTCTCCCAGCATTTAGATACAACTTCTATTACTGCACTTAACTTAGTGTTAATCCATGCATTCTCTTCGTCTTACACTCTGGCATCTAGTCCAGTCACATACCTTCACACAGGAAGTGTTCGACAAATGTGGTTTATCCACTCTTTTTTTTTATCCTCACCCGAGGACATTTTTCCATTCAGATAGAGTGGAAGGGAAAGAGAGGAAGAGAGAGAGAAACATCGATGTGAAAGGGACACATCGAGTGGCTGCCACCCGCACGACCCAACTAGGGTCGGGGACAAACTGCAACCGAGGTACATGCCCTTAACGGGAACTGAACCCAGGTCTCTTGGGACTGCAGGCCGACGCTCTAACCGCTGAGCCAAAGCAGCCAGGGCGTTTATCCACTCCTTGAGGGCAAGAATGGAGCCTATTCACATTGTTCCCCCATGGTACCCAACATATAGTAGGTACTCAATTTTTTTTAAATCCTCACCCAAGGATATTTTTCCATTAGCTTTTAGATAGAGTGGGACGGCCCTGGCCAGTTTGGCTCAGCGGTTAGAGCATCGGCCTGCGGTCCCGAGAGACCCGGGTTCGGTTCCCGCTAAGGGCATGTACCTCGGTTGCAGTTTGTCCCTGGCCCTGGTCGGTTGTGCGGGTGGCAACCACTCGATGTGTCCCTTTCACATCGATGTTTCTCTCTCTCTCTCTCTGTTCCTCTCTCTCCTCCCACTCTACCTGAACAAAAAGTGGAAAAATGTCCTCGGGTGAGGATAAAAAAATAAAAAATAGATAGAGTGGGACGGAGAAAGAAAGAGAGAGAGAAATATCGATTGGTTGCCTCCCGCAAGACCCCAACCAGGGCTGGGGATTGAACCTGCAACTGAGGTAGTGCCCTTGACCAGGAATCAAACCCACAACTCTTTGGTCTGTGGGCTGATGCTCTAACTGCTGAGCCAAACCAGTCAGGGTCTCAATTAATTTTTTAAAATGAAATGAAATTGGTGAAAGAGTGTTTTTAAAAACAACTGTAGCAGCCAGAGGCAATCTAAAATATACCAAAATTCATACCTAGAGTCTTTACTTCTCTAAGGTGAAGTAGCAATGTAATATATATCTCAAAGTATATTCATCAATATTTATACCAATTAATCAGTGACTTAAAATTAAAAATGGAAAGCAGATCCTTGTACTGAATTTTGTGTGAGAAACATTCCCTTTATTGTGTCACAGTAACTGTTGCACAGTAAATCCTACCCAATCATAGATTCCCACAGGTGGACACTGTGTGCCTACCAGCAGCACCTTCAGCTAAGGCTACAGACACCGACTCCCAGGCATAGGATCACCTTACACACAAACATCCAGTGGAGGCCTACTCATCAAGCCTTGGATTAGGTACTGAGACAGAAATGACCTTAAGGAGCATCCAGATGAATTTGTTAATATTGTTCTTTGTGCTTTACTCAAATTCATTTTTCCTTAAATAAAATGTAATATTTCTGGATTTAACTTCTTGAAGAGGTATCAAAAAAATTTAGCATATATAAATATATATATATATACACACACACACACACACACACACACACATATATATATATATATATATATTTTTTTTTTTTCCCCCTGTAAATGAGAAGGTCCTCATAATGGAATTTCACTGAATTATGTATACATAACTATTTTATCTCTGAAGGCATTCTTGAATGCCTACAGGGTCAAATAATAGAACAAATGCAATGTTATCAAAATACAAAGCAAAAGGAAGCCATTTTATATACTGGGCATCGATTACATTTTCAGAATAGTTATAAAATTTTGTCAGCAAGAAGTATTTTGTGCCCTGGCCGGTTTGGCTCAGCGGTTAGAGCATCGGCCTGCGGTCCTGAGAGACCCGGGTTCGGTTCCCGCTAAGGGCATGTACCTCGGTTGCAGTTTGTCCCCGGCCCTGGTCGGTTGTGCGGGTGGCAGCCACTCGATGTGTCCCTTTCACATCGATGTTTCTCTCTCTCTCTCTGTTCCTCTCTCTTCCCCCCATTCTACCTGAACAAAAAATGGAAAAATGTCCTCGGGTGAGGATAAAAAAAAAAAAAAAAGAAGTATTTTGTTTAAAGAGATAATTACTAATTGTCTGATAATTAACAATTATCAAAAAGCTTTGAAATAATTAGGAGAAAAGACTAAACTAAGGGCAATACAGCAAAACATACAAAATAAGTGCTGGCTACAATTTTTTTTTTTTTTTTTTTAATCCTTACCCGAGGACATTTTTCCATTTTTTGTTCAGGTAAAGTGGGAGGGAGAGAGAGGAACAGAGAGAGAGAGAGAGAAACATCGATGTGAAAGGAACACATCGAGTGGCTGCCACCCGCACAACCGACCAGGGCCGGGGACAAACTGCAACCGAGATACGGGCCCTTAGCGGAACCGAACCCGGGTCTCTCAGGACCGCAAGCCGATGCTCTAACCGCTGAGCCAAACCGGCCGGGGCCTGGCTACTATTTTTAAACAGTAAAAACCAGACCACTTAATGAAACAGTTGTTAATTGCAATACTGAAAAAATAAGTATGTATCATACCTTGTCATTTTCTCTTTTTTTTGACAATCGGCTATATCTGTTAATTGCAGTATCATGATCTGGAAAACAGAAATGACTATTAACAATAAAATAGTATTTTGCAAAACTTATAAATGCTTTAAATAGTCTTCATATGTGCATCTTTCAACAAATGTACTAAAGCAAGATAAGATTTCCCTACCACATGATCACTCCAGCCAAATGTTTCCCTATTCAAATTTCCCCTAAAGTTAAATTTCTACTTATGAGATTGGTAAATGTATTTGATTCAAAGGAAACTGTAATCCACTACAGTTTATAGAAGTATTTTTAGTACAAAAATAGCAGATGCTTATTAAAGAAAACTTGAAATATACAAGGAAAACAAAGCAGGAAAAATAATATATCACGTCTTTAGATATTATGAAGGTAGCAAATCACAAGAGTAAATTTAATATCCTTTTAAATTTTTCTGAAGGGTCAACATTGCAACTTAAAAACACTGATTTAAATAATGTTCACTTAAACTTTTAATTAGGTTCACTTTTTTTTCAATTATTGCATATACTCTGGCCACAGATCTGTATTGATTTAAAAAATGCATCATTACAAGAAATAACTGTGTAAAGTATTAAAAGCTTACCATTACTAGCAATCTGAAACACTTCCTTTAATGTCAATATTTCTGGAAAAGTTCAAGAATAATTTCAGTGTAGCATATTTATGAAATATCTTAAATTTTGTTTAGAAAATAGTAACTACCATTTAAGCTATAACTAAAACTCCAAATAATATCTTATTCTTCAACATTCAAAGTGAAAAAGCTACTCTGTGTTTCAGTTAGTCTATGAAACATTTACTGTCATTAGCAACATTATACCTCCAGAAAATCTACTCGCCACAAATTAGTAATATGACACATACAAAAAAAATTAAAACCACTGCAAATTCTAAGATATGCAAATATTCTTAGTATCAGACTCTAACTTAATTCATTTGTTATATTGACTTTAATAAATTCAAATGCTTAATCAAAAACAAAGAACATTTTATTAATAAGATTATGGCATTCAGTCCCCTAAAACTGAAAAAAGAGATCTTGTTTCTTGACCTTGGAATGATCATTCTTGAGGATAACCACCACAAATATTAACTCCATCTCTAAAGTTCATTTGTTTTTATTCCATTATACTTTAAATATTTTACCATCCACTGATAATTAATTCAATGTTTCATTCTATCTACATATCTTATAAGTCTGTATAATTTTCTAAGATTGTAAATTATGAGACAGCAGAGCCAATTCTATAAAACTCTCATTTTATCACTGAATAATGCTAAATGAGGGAAAAATCCACCACAAACGACTAAGTCATGAGTTGCTAGATGTGCCAATACTCCTACCTCCTGCTGCTCTAGCCATAAACACACCTCCATCTCCTATGCCACTGTCTCAGTTTAGGTCTTGGTCATTCCTTACTGGATTCTCACAACTTCCTAATCCATTCTCCTAGACATCAAATTCACTCTATTCCCACTCCCCCCAAACAAAAGGATGTTATCTCCCTACTTCTTAAAGATCTCCACTGGCTTCTCTTTCCTTACAAACTCAAGTGGAATATTTTTGGCATATTCTAGTCCAATTAATCTATATCTAGATTTGTCTCCTGCCATGCCGAACACATTCAACATTGCAGCCACATTGAACTTCTCGTCATTCTCAAAACAAGCCATGTATGCCCTGGCCAGTCTGCTCAACGGTTAGAGCATTAGCCTACAGAAAAAGAGTCTCTGGTTCAATTCTGATTAAGGGCATGTGCCTCGGTTGCAGTTTGGTCCCCAGCCCTGGTTGGGCTCGTTTGGGAGGCAACCAATCGATGTGTCTCTTTCATGTCAATGTTTTTCTCTCTCTCTCCCTGCCCCCCAACTCAAGATAAATGGGGGGGGGGAAAGTATCCTCAGGTGAGGATTTAAAAAACAACAACAAATAAACAAGCCACGTATTTCCACAACCCATACCTTTGTGCTTCCTAGTCCCTCCAATAGAATAACAACACTTTTCTCCTGGCAAATTCTTCTTCATTGTCCAATGTTTGTGTATAAAGGCTTTGGTGAAGCCTAAGACCCTTTTTAGAGCCTTCCCAACACCTTACTCATTCCCTATAAGACAGTGTCATAATTATCTGTTTACCTATATCCTTCTCTAGGCTTTCTCAAGTGAAGTGACATCTTACTCACATCGGTATTCCTCAGTATCTAGTTTAATGTCTAGCAGGAGCTCCTATAAATGTTTAGTGACTAATTAAAGTAAAAGTGGCTCAAGTTGTATTCAGAAATGGTTTAGATATAGAGTAACATGCATTTTACAGGCATTAATATTCTGATAGCTAATGAAAGTAAACATAAACTTGACTTCAATACCTTTCAGATCTCTTTCTTTAAACTGGGTAATGGGGAACATCATGGCATCAGCAAGCTGTGTTGAAAGTACCGCATGACAAGAGCTAAGCTAGTAAAAGAAAAACCAAAAAGGCCAAATAACAGAAACATTTAACCAGTATTACGTAAATTAAACAAAACCTAATAAAAGATGTTGATAATAAGAGAACACAAAATTATGTAATATAATTTAAAATATACAGTCAAAAAATTCCATTTAAAACTCTTAGAAGAAAACAGGATAACCTTGAATTTGGCAAGGACACAAAAACACAGCAACAAAAGAAAACAAATTAAACTTCATCAAAATTAAAATTTTTGTGGACCAGGATACTATCAAGACAGTAAAAATACAATCCATAGAACAGGAGGAAATAGTCCGGCTGGTGTGGCTCAGTGGTTGAGCATCGACCCATGCACCAAGAGGTCGCCGGTTCGATTCCCGCTCAGGACACATGCCCAGGTTGTGGGCCAAATCCCCAGTGGGGAGCATGCAGGAGGTGGCCAATCGATGAGCTCTCTCATCGATATTTCTATCTCTCTCTCCTCCTCAATTCCTCTCTCCTTAAAATCAATAAAGAAAAAAAAACCACTTAGATTTAAAAAAAAAAAAAGTAAAAATACAATCCATAGAATCAGAGGAAATATTTGCCAGTCACATATCTCATAAGGAATTTGTATCTATAATAAAGAACCCTTAAACTCAGTAATAAAGGACAACAACCCAATTAAAAAATAAGCAAAGGTCTGAATAGACACTTCATCAAAAAAATACAAATGGCCAATTAGCACAGGAAAAGATGTTCAGTATCATCAGCCATCATGAAAATGCACATCAAAACTATAATGAGATTTTACTTAATACCCAGTTCGATGGCTACAATAAAAACTAAATAAAAATAACAAGTGTTGATGAGAATGTGGAGAAACTGGAACCCTCCTACATTACTGGTGGGAATATAAAATTGTGCAGAAGCTATGAAAAACAGTTTGGTGATTCCTCAAGAAGTTAAACATAAAATTTATCATATAACCCAGTAATCCCACTCTAGGTATATACCCAAAAGAACTGAAAACTGGTGTTCAAAAAAACCAGTCCTGGCTGGTGTGGTTAAGTAGTTAGAGCATCAGCCTCCACACTGAAGGGTCTCAGGCTCGATTCCCAGTAAGGGCACGTACCTGGGTTGCAGTTTTGATCCCTGGCCTCAGTCAGGGCATGTGCAAGGAATAACCTGTCAATGTGTTTCTCTCACATTGATGTTTCTCCTCTTCCCCACCCCCACCTCCCCCACTCCCTTCCATTCTCTAAAAAAAAAAAAAAAAAATCAATGGAAAAAATATCCTTAGGTGAGGATTAACAAATAAAAATTAAATAAAAACCTGTACATAAATGCTCATAGCAATACTATTTGCATTAGCCAAAAGGTAGAAAACAACCCAAATGTCCATCAGATGAAAAGTTGATAAATAAAATGTAGTATATTCATACAATGGAATTTTATTTAGCCAGAAAAAGAAATGTAATCTGATACACACTACAACATGGATGAACCTTGAAAACATTTTGCTATGTGAAGGCAGACAAAAATATCCACAAATAGTATGTGTCCATTTATATGAAATATTTAAAATAGGCAAATCCATAAGGACAAAAAGCAGATTTATGGGTGCCAGGAACTGAGAGGAAGGAGGAGTAGGAAGTGATTGCTTAATGGGCATAGGGTTTCCTTTGGGATGATGATAAACGTGCTGAACATCAGTGAACATCAGTGCTGATCGTTGCACAATACTGTCAATGAACTAAATGTCACCAGTGATAAATTTTATGTTATGTGTATTTTGCCCCAATAAAAAAAAATTCCATTTCCTATAAATATTTCTTTATATTGACCTGCTGGGGCAATATTTTGCTATAATAAATTATTAAAATATTTCAAGAAATTACTTTCTAGACTTCCGGTCAAGATGGCGGTATAGGTAAACGCGGTATCGCGTCCTCCCACAACCACATCAAAGTTTCAACTAAACTACAGAACAACCATCATGCAAAACCACCTGAAATCAAACTGAATGGAAGTCCTACAACTACGGAATTAAAGAAGCAGCCACATCGAGACTGGTAGGAGGGGCAGAGGCACAATGGCTGGTCCCACACCCACGTGTGGCGGATAAAAATAAGGATACCTCGGCTGGGAAGGTCCTCCCTGATGTCCCACATCAGGCGCCCCGCTCAGGGTTCCAGTGCCAGGAAAAGAATCCCCATAACTTCTGGCTGGAAAAACCAGCGGGAACTTAGGCTCAGGGAGGCTGAGGCAGCCAGAGCCCCAGGCAGCTCCTTAAAGGGCCCGAGCATGGACTTATCAGACTCACTCCCTCTAAGCTTGGAGGGGAGGCAGCTTGAGGGGTGCCAGAGACATACAGGGAAGAGCTGAGCTGTTTGGCATTGGAGCAAGGGCTGGAGAGGGGGCTTTCTCGGGGACAAACGTGCTATCAGAGGCCTTTGTTCCTTTGGTGAGCCCTCCCCTGGGGCAGCAGACAGTCGCCATATCTGGGACTCCAGCAACTTAGCTCATACAGGTTGCCCCACCCTGGTGATTCCCTGAGGCCCTGCCCCACCCAACTTTCAGGCCCACCCACGCTGTCGCCAGTTGCTTAACCATAGGATTAGCCTGCCTTGGATCCTGCTTCAGGTTTTCCTAAATTCTTTCAAACAAGCAGCATCTGGTCTCAGCTAGCCCCATACCTCTCGTTAAGTAATACATAGAAACAAACACAGGAGGCAGCCAAAATGAGGAGACAAAGAAACAGGCCCCAAATGAACGAAAAGAAAAAATCTCCAGGAAAAAAAACTAAGTAAAATGGAGATAATCAACCTAACAGATGCTGAGTTCAAAATACTGCTTATAAGGATGCTCAATGAACTTAGTGAGAACCTCAGCGAACTTAGTGAGGGCCTCAGGAGCATAAAAAAAGGACCAGTAAGAAATGAAGGATGCACAGTCAGAAATGAAGGAGGCACTAACTGAAATAAAGAATAATTTACACAGATTCAATAGTAGAGTAGGTAAAGCCAAGAAGCAAACCATCAATTTGGAATCTAAGGAAGCAAAAAACACCCAATCAGAACAGCAAAAAGAAAAAAGAAACCAAAAAAATGAGGATAGTGTAAGGAGCCTCTGGGACAACTTCAAGGGTACCAACATTCACATCTTGGGGGTGCCAGAAGGAGAAGAGAGAGAACGAGAAATCAAAAACCTTTTGAAACAATAATGGCAGAAAACTTCCCTCACTTGGTGAAGGAAACAGACATACAAGTCCAGGAAGCACAGAGAGTCCCAAACAAGATGTACCCCAAGAGGCCCACACCAAGACGCATCATCATCAAAATGCAAAAGGTTCAAGACAAAGAGAGAATCTTAAAAGCGGCAAGAAAAAAGCAGTTAGTTTGCCCTGGCCAGTGTGGCTCAGCGGTTAGAGTGTTGACCTGCGGTCCGGAGAGACCCGGGTTCGGTTCCCGCTAAGGGCATGTACTTCGGTTGCAGTTTGTCCCCGGCCCTGGTTGGTCGTGCGGGTGGCAGCCACTCGATGTGTCCCTTCACGTCGATGTTTCTCACTCTCTCTCCCTTCCTCTCTCTCCCTCCCACTCTATCTGTACAAAAAATGGAAAAATATCCTCGGGTGAGGATAAAAAAAAAAAAGCAGTTAGTTTCCTACAAGGGAGTTCTTTTGATTTCTCAAAAGAAACTTTGCAGGCCAGAAGGGAGTGGCAAGAAATATTCAAAGTGATGAAAAGCAAGAACCTACAACCAAGATTACTCTATCCTGCAAAGCTGTCATTTAGAATCGATGGCCATATAGTGTTTCCCAGACAAGAAAAAGTTAAAGGAGTTCATCACCACCAAACCGTTATATGAAATATTGAAGGGTCTTTTTGAAGAAAAAGATAAAATATATGAACAAAGAAAATGGCAATGAATACATATCTATTGACAATGAAATCTACAAACAGAACAGAAACATTCTCATAGATACAGAGAACATTTTGTTGGTTGCAAGATGAGAGGGGGGTTGGGGGAATGGGTGAAAAAAGTGAAGGGATTAAGAAGAACAAATTGGTTGCTAGACTGACAAACCTCAAAAAGAAGGGGTTTAGAGGGTGGGAAGAAATAAACCAAAGAACTTACATGCATAACCAATGGACACAGACAAGAGTGTGGGAAAAGGCAGGAGGGGGGCGGGAGTGGGAGGGAGGGGGTCAATGGGAGAAAAATGAGGAACATCTGTAATACATTCAACAATAAAGATAATAAATAAATAAATAGAAGTTACTTTCTAGTTAAGAGACTAGAAAGGACAGAACTACCTAATGGTGCATGTTTAAAGAAGAGCTTTCACTGCACTCGCAGAGAACAGTTATGAACTCTCCAAACATCTCTTACCATCTTTCTTCCTCCTAACTTCCAGGTCTTTTTGTTTAGTGATTTGTTCTGAGACTAGTTAGAGAAATTAAAAGTTGATATTGGCTATTTAGAATGGAAGGATTAATAAACCAAATAGTAAAAGGTTGCCTGAAGGCAAAAAAGAAAAACCATAGAGTCTAGGTTACAGTTTAAAACTCTTCTCTCCCTGAGTACATCAAATAAGACAATGAAACACTGGGAGAGTGTTGCATGAACTGGGAGAGCATATCTATATGTTTATTCCTTGAAAACATTTGTTTTAATCAGACAAAGAAAGTATTGTTTTTACAGAGACAAAGATGTGAAATAAGGTCCTTCTTATATAGTAATCTTTTTTATTGTTAATCTTCACCTGAGGATTTTTAGAGAGAGTGGAAGAGAGGGAGGAAGAGGTAGGGGGAGTGAGGGGGAAAGGAGGAGAGGGACAGAGAGAGGGAGAGAACAAGAGAGAGAGAGAGAGAGAGAGAGAAACATCAATGAGAGAGAGACACATGGATTGGTTGCTTCTCACATGTGCCCCTACCGGGGATGGGGGATTGAACCTGCAACCCAGATACGTGCCCTTGACCAGGAATCAAACCCGAGACCCTTCAGTGTGTGGGCCAATGCTCTAACCATGGAGACCACTGTGCAGGGCTTAAAGGGTAATCTTAGAGGTTTACTTACATCATAATAATAAAAGTTCCCAATAAAAACTAAACAGCTTGAATAACTTAATTATAAGACCACCTATTCAAGCAAAATAAAATAAACACTTACCTCGTCTATAACTTTTGAAAACTGTTGCAAAGTAGAGCTCATAACTTCATCATCACCCCCCAAAGGAAAATGCTGAAAGGTGAGAAACAGAGATGAGGTAAAGAATCAATGTTGTATGTCTTCTGTAATGACATTATAATTTACTTTTCAATAACTTCAGAAAACTTCTAAAATTTTGAATAAGCTCTGAAAGTATCTTTTGTTAATATATTTTTATTGATTTTCTTTAGAGAGAGAGATAGAAACATCAATGTGAGAAAGATACATCCATCGACTGCCTCATGCATGCCCCCTACTGGGGATAGAGCCAGCAACCCCGGCAAGTTTCCTGACCGGGAATCAAACTGGGACCTTTCAGTCCACGGGACGATGCTCAATCCACTGAGCCACACCAGCTGGGCTAAAAATACCATTTTAATAAACTAGTATAAGTCATATAATTACTAAACATTAATTATAATGTTGCTAAGCAACCAATTAACATGGTATATAAGAATGCACACCATACTTGGAGTTCAAAGATTTGGTATTTAGCTCCTCCAATAACCAGCTGTGTAACTTAAGCAAGCTTCAGTTTCTTAATTTGTAAAAAGAACAGAGGTCAATTAGATAACCTCTGTATCTAACACTAAATCATTAAAATTAGATATGAGTGCTAATGAAATTTCAATGGCATATAAAAATTCTGTGAATTCAACAAAGCTTAGGATTCTTTTTTTTTTAATCCTCACCCGAGGACATTTTTCCATTTTTTGCTCAGATAGAGTGGGAGGGGGAGAGAGAGAGAAAAAAACATCGATGTGAAAGGGACACATTGAGTGGTTGCCATCCACACGACCCAACCAGGGCTGGGGACAAACTGCAACCGAGGTACGTGCCCCTAACGGGAACTGAACCCAGGTCTCTCTGGACCACAGGCCAACACTCTAACTGCTGAGCCAAACCGCCCAGGGCAAAAAGCTTAGGATTCTTGATGAGAAATTCTACTTAACTATACAGGCACTGCATATTTTAAATTATGCTTTTAAAACTCTCATATACAGTACCTGTTTTTCATATTCTTTTAAAAGTTTTGATGTCAGGTGTGTTGCTGCACTTAATTCATTCTATAAAAAAAGATTAATTCAAATTAATGCAATATTCCTGGTAAGAAAAAAAGTTTTAGTTGAAGATACCTACAGCACTTTTATTTATTACTTAACATAAAACACTGTACAACATGTTCTCTAAACCCCTCACTAAATCACTGGAAAGAGAACTACCATTAAAGTGCTAAAAGGAAACTCATACCATGAAATATACACCATCAACAGAGGGGTCAGCAGTGTTCCCAGTGTGTGCTTGTTTTTAACTAATAAAAACTAAGCATTAAATTAAATATTGTTAAAGCTTTAAAGCTAGAAGTAAACTGTACATATCTTAGCAAAATCTTAAGAGAGTCTACATTGACAACTGATTATCCCTCTCTCTAGATGCTGATACTAGACCATGATAAGCATTTAATAACATACAACCAAAATGTGGTCAACCTAGTCATAAAATATAGCAACAGAGCCATATGAAGAAAATATTTTTTAATTTAAAGGGTTTTTCTCAGTGATGACAAAAATAACATTTCTTTTACATATCAATCTGTGATCAGAAATCCAATCCTGAGAGACCAATCAGAAGAAAAAAATAACTATCACAACAACCTTTAAATACATAATGAAAATGTAAGTCCAGAAAGAAAATTAGAAGGGAAAAAAATGAGTATACTTAATTAATCCCAAAGAAAGTTTATTATAGAACCCGGGTTGTTGTTAAGGCTTATAATTAATTTCATAAACAAAGTCTCAAATCTTATTCCTGTTCAACAAAAAAATCTAGTCCTTTCTATTTTCTTAAATTCATCTCCTGTGCCCCAGAGTTACATCCAATTTTTATTACCTTCTATTAACTAAATAGAGGCAAAATACAAATACTCTGTTCAAAAAGAGGAGGAAGTATTCCATAAGATTTAAAAGCATGATTAGGGAACATATGAGTGACAATATGGAGTTTTCAGTCAAATCTTAGGCAAAGGTCATTATCAGTAAGTGTCAATAAGAAAGCCCTTACTGGGTATGGGGAGGAGGGACAGATGCTTCAATCTTCATAACTTTTGTAGTACTACAAACTATACGTTAGTAACTGAAATGTGAGCTCTGTAATACAAAATACTTAATGTTCATTTATCCATTCAACAGGTATTTATTATTAAGAGCCCAGGTCAGCACTAGGCACCAGTAAAACAACACAGGAACTATCTCTGGGATTAAAGATTCATTTTTAAAAAGCACTGAGTCAGCCTTTAGCTTTTTACCTGTGCATCATAAATCCGACGCATAGCTTGATACAACTGGTTCATATAGTTGGAAATAGCTGTAGCATCTTCTTCAAATACACCCAGTAAAGACCTTGTCTGTGTAAAATAAAAGCAGTAAGTCTGTGTTAACCATTATATAAAGCAGATGGGATTTGTTTTCTAAAGGAAAAATCCTAGAATATCAGAGCTCTAATTATTCTGAGTTTTAATCTATTTTCTCTTTTGATAGTAATGCCAAGATGTCGAGATTCTTTGTTCTCAATTTCACTTCATTAAAACAGAGGGATTTTCCAAATACATCACACAAACTTTAGAAGGAACAACAAAGATGTATTTTTATGAAGTAAAACATCTGTAATTAAACTAAGAACAGACCAACAGAAATGTTCAAGGCTAAATTAACAGTATTCCATGTACAGATATTTTAAATGTCTTATTTCAGGATAACTTAGTATGATTATTTCTTTTTCTTTGGAGTGCCAAACCCCTCCCCATCCTAACCCAAAAATAATAACCATAGTGCTCCTCTCCAACATGGCTTATAAAACATTAACTATGTTTTTCTGAGTGCAAAATATGGGATATCGTTTTTCTCCTTTTTCCTTTTAATCCTCACCCAAAGATTTTTCTATTTATCATCAGATAGAGTGGGAGCAACGCGGGGCGGGGGGACACATCCATGTGAGAGAAACACATCAACTGGTTGCCTCCTGTACGGCCTGACCAGGGCCTGGGACAAACCACAACCGAGGTATGTGCCCTTGACCGGAATCAAACCCAAGACTCATTGGTCCACAAGCCAAGGCTCAAACCACTGAGCCAAACCGGCCAGGGCTATTTTTCTCCTTTATTCTCCTTTATACATTTCTATATTGTTAAGCTTTTTTTCCCCAATGAGCATGCAAAAATTATCTTTGTTTTAACAGGAAAAAACTTATAGGTAAATTTAAGACTGTCAATAAAAAAGATCAGAGATAAGGAAACTCAGCATATCAAGGCAAAGTATGCTCACCTTTTTATACCTCAAAGGCAGGGAAAAATTAAAATACCAAAAACTACTGCCATAATTGCAGCTTAAAATCTAAATGATGACCTTGCATTTTCATTCTATAAATATTATCTCAACCTTAAAAGCTGGTTTTTAAAAATCAACTTAGTTCTTAGCTTCCTATTTTCAGAAGAAACTAAGTGAATACATTTATTTTTATTACTTATTTTTGTTACAGATGTTTCTCCTTTTCCCCCCACAGACACCCTCCTCCCATTTCCGCCACCCCCCCCCCCCCAGCATTGTTGTCTATATCCATTGGTTATACTTACATACATAAGTTCTTTGGTTTATCTCTTCCCTTCTCCTGCCCCCCTCCTCTGAAGTTGTCAGTCTGAACCCTACTTCTTTTTTTAATAAACATAGACTTTTTATTTTATTTTCCATTTATCTTCAGTTAGAACGGGAGGGAGAGAGGGAGAAAGTGGTTGCCACCCACACAACCCCAACAGGGGCCAGGGACGAACGGCAACTGAGGTATGTGCCCTTAGCGGAAACTGAACCCGGGACTCTCGAGTCCGCGGGCCGATGCTCTAACCGCTGAGCCAAACCGGCCAGGGCCTGAACCCTACTTCTATGTCTCTGGGTCTATTTTGTTCATCATCTTATTTTGGTCATTATATTCCACAAATAAGTGAGATCATGTGATACTTGTCTTTCTCTGACTAGTTTATTTTGCTTAGCATAATACTCTCCAGGTCCATCCATGTCATCTCAAAGGATAAGAGACCTTTCTTACAGCTACACAGTATTCCATTGTGTATATGTACCACAGCTTTTTTATCCACTCATCTATTGATGGACACGTGGGCTGTATCCAGATCTTAGCAATTGTAAATAGTGTTGCTATGAACATAGAGATGCATATATTCTTTCTGATTGGTGTTTCAGGCTTAGGATATATCCTAGAAGTGGGCTCATTGGGTCAAATAGCAGTTCAATTTTTAATTTTTTGAGGAAACACCATACTGTTTTCCATAGCGGCTGCACCAGTCTTCATGCCCACCACAAAATCACCCTGGATGATTTGGTTCAGTGGTTAGAACATCAGCCCTCGGACCAAAGAGTCTCGGGTTCGATTCCAATCAAGGGCACATAACTCGGTTATGGTTCATCCCTGGTCCTGGTTGGGGTTGTGCAGGAGGCAACCAATCAATGTGTCTCTCACATCTCTCTCTCACTCTCTGCCTCTCCCTCCCGCTCTATCTGAAGATAAATGGAAAAATATCCTTAGGTGAGGAAAAAAAAAAAAAGGCACAGATACCCTGGCCAGTTTGGCTCAGTGGTTGGAGCGTCAGCCTGTGGTCCAGAGAGACCCGGGTCCGGTTTCTGCTAAGGGCACATACCTTGGTTGCAGTTTGTCCCCGGCCCTGGTTGGGTCATGTGGGTGGCAACCATTTGATGTGTCCCTTTCACGTCGATGTTTTTTCTCTCTCGCTCTCTTCCTCCCACTCTATCTGAACAAAATATCAAAAAATGTCCTCAGGTGAGGATAAAAAAAAAAAATGGCACAAAATCATTGTGCCAGTATACAAAGTCCACGATCTCAGTCCTCTACTTCCCCATGCCCCAGAGATTTAGATCTGGCAGAATCTTTCGATTTTTTAGCTCTAGTGCCCCCCCCCCCTCCCACCTCTCAAAGTGCTATTTTAAAATGTAAAAAGAAAAGCAACAAGAAATCTTGTTTGGCTATGCCATTTTTAAGAAAAAAAAATCTGTCACTTGTTTCTTTTTTCCTCCAAAAAGTATCATTCTAATTCAAGGATTACATTTATATAAAAACTGCAATGGAACTAAATTTAAAACTTCATCTTGCCCTGGCCAGGTGGCTCAGTTGGTTGGAGTATCATCCCATACACAAAAAGGTTGCAGTCTGATCCCAGGTCAGGATGCATACAAGAGGCAACCAATCAATGTTTCTCTCTAGCATAGATGTTTCAGTCTGTCCTTTCCTCTCTCTCTAAAATCAATTTTATCCTCACCTGAGGACATTTTTTTTCCATTTTGTTGTTGTCGAATGCCTGCCTCCTGCATGACCCAACCAGGGCCAGGGACAAACTGCAGCTGAGGTACGTGCCCTTAGTGGGAACCGAACCCGGGCATCTATGGACTGCAGGCTGCCGCTCTAACGGCTGAGACAAACCGGCCAGGGCTAAAATCAATTTTAAAAAAACAGCCCTGGCTGGTTTGGCTCAGCAACTGGAGTGCTAGCCCGCAGATAGAAGGGTCTCGAGTTTGATTCCTGGTAAAGGGCACATACCTGGGTTGCAGGTTTGATCCCCAGCTCCAGTTGGGGTGGTGCAGGAGGAAACTAGTTGATGTGTCTCTCTCACATTGATGTTTCTTTCTCTCTCTCTCTCTCTCTCTCTCTCTCTCTTCCTCCCTCCTTCCCTTCCACTCTACCAAGGGAATCAATGGAGGGATATCCTCGGTGAAGATTAACAAAACAAAACAAAAACCCCACCAGATCCTCAAGTGATGATAAAAGAAAAAAAAAGAAAAAATATCATTTTAGCCTAAACAGGGTTAAAACAGGTTCCTAATTAAAACTAAAATATCAAGTTCAATGCTGTATGCTTGTTTAAAATTAGCAACTCACAAAAATAAAATCAATACCATTTCACTGAATCTATGATGGCATCCGCTGTGAGTTGCATCATTTTTTTTATACTACTAAAACAAACAAAACAATGCTGGCAATTAAGCTATTATTTAAGGTTTTCTTATGTCTTGAAATTTTTAATTTAAATTTTATGGAAACAGACCTTTAGACAGAATTTTATATATAATGCTCATATAAACAGGAAAACACAAGCAGCATACATTTATTTTTATTTATTTAGTTAATTGTTTTTCTTTACTGATTTTAGAGAGAGAAGAAGAGAGAAGGAGAGACAGAAACATCGATGAGAGAGAACATCAACTGGCCACCTCCTGCATGCCCCCCACTGGGGATGTGCCCTGACCAGGACTCAAACCAGTGACTGCTTGGGGCATGGGTCAATGCTCAACCACTGAGCCACACCCGCTGGTCAAGCAGCATAAATTTAATATAATCCCAAAATTTCTTCACAGAGTCCAATTCATGTGAGTCACTTTTTGATACAAGAGTCTTCAATATCTATGTTTTCTCATTCAAAACTATTCTGTGCCATGAGATGACAAATATTTCTTAGAAGTACTTCCACTTGTCTCCAATACAGGGTGGGGCAAAAGTAGGTTTACAGTTGTACAGTAATTAATAAATAATAATACAAGAATAAACTCTTGTACTCACAACTGTAAACCAACTTTTGCCCCACCCTTTATTTTCTTACAAGCCATTACTATACCTGCAACCTGGCATGTACCCTGACCTGCCACCTTTTGGTGTCCGGGACAATGCTCCAACCAACTGAGCTACACTGGCCAGGATCCAATCAGCAAGTTTTAATAGTGGCAATTGCTTCATCTCACCAGGTGTTAAAGGAATATTTTCAAACTGATAATGTTGTCAAAGTGATCTGTCGGCTGAACACTGAGAGGCTGCACTTGTCCAGTCAAGCCACTAAGAGAAACAATCAAGTGCATACATTTGTAGGTGATTACAAGTCAAAACATCACCAGCTGTAAGGACATCTCGTACAAAAGTGTGAAAATGTGTGTGTGTGTGGGGGGGGGGGAGTATGTATTATAATCTATGAATATTTCATATTATATCAAAGAAAGAAACTGGACTGGAGTTTGTCTTCACAGTTCTAGCATGAACTGATAAGATTATCGTTGATAAGATATTTATCTACATGTAAAATCAAGTATTTTTTAAAGATCATCTATTCTTACTAATTAGGAAGTTTCATTTTGTTTCTGATTTTCAAAACAATATATAAGCATGGACAAGGCATCTAGTATAGTCCTAAGATTTTTTGCCTCAATAGATGATCTTTTGCAGAATGGTGTGATTTGGGCAAGATAATTCTAAAAAAGGTTTATTTTTGTCTGCTAGATCTGAACTTGCAAATTCCTCCCTAATTTGATAATTACTGTAAATTAAACCTAAAAAGAGAATAAGTGTAATTCAGGATAGTCTTTCACAATTCCCTAACTCTAACTTTTTCACATTGCAACTGTCAGACTATTTTATTTTTTTAAAAAATTGTTTTAATCCTCACCCGAGGATATTTTTACATTTATCTTCAGACAGAGTGGGAGGGAGGGAGAGAGAGAGAGAGAAACATCGATGTGAGAGAAACACATCGACTGGTTGCCACCTGTACGAACCCGAACCGGGGCCAGGGACAAACCACATCCAAGGTATGTGCCCTTGGCCAGAATCAAACCCAGGAATCCCCAGTCCACAGGGCGATGCTCTAACCACTGAGCCAAACCAGCCAATGCTGTCAGGCTATTTTTAAATGATTAGAATCAAATGATCTAATAAAAACTTATATCAGGAGCTTTAAAAGGTTCCATACTCTGTTACTTGACTTCTTGGACTCTATCCTAGATAAACAGTCTAAAAAAGAACAAAAATTTATGTCCAAAAGCATGAATCTCAGCCCTGTATATAAAGCAAAATTTGGGAAAAAAGTCTAAAAGTCCAATAGGGTAACTGTTAAGTCAGTTAAGGAAACATGCAGCCTTTAAATTATTTTATTCAGAATGTAATAATACGTGAACATACTTAAGCTATAATGTTAAATTAAAGCCAAATAAAAATTGTATGCACAATATAATCTCAATTACATTAAAATGTTTAAGAAAAAAATTAGAAAAAAGAAAGCAAACTGTTAACAGGGTTTGCTACTAGGTACATGGCACATAACTGCTTTTATTTTTTCTGTACTTCCAATTTTTCTGAAGTTATTATTATTTTTATAACCAGGTACAAAAACAAAAACATTTACTATCTATAATAACTGTGATTCAAACTAGTTGAGTGACTTGCCTTAAAGCGGAAGGGACAAAGTGGCAGTGAAGATTAAAACCTTAGCACTGCCTGGCCAGTGTGGCTCAGTGGATTGAGCATCATCCCATGAACTGAGAAGTCCCAATTCAATTCCCAGTCAGGGCACATGCCTGGGTTTCAGGCTGAGTCCCCAGTTGGGGTCCTATAGGAAGCAGCTAATCAATGTTTCTCTCTCATATCGATGTTTCTATTTCTCTTTCACCTTCCTCTCACTCTAAAAAAAATTCAATAAAAATATAATAAAAAAAAAAAATCCCTAGCCCTGGCTGGGTAGCTCACTGGGTTAGAGCTCCATCCTAATACACCAAGGCTGTGGGTCTGATAGTTGGTCAGGGCTCATACAATGAATACATAAACACGTGGGAAAACAAATGGATGTTTCACTCTCTCCCTCCCTTCCTCTCTCTAAAATCAATAAACTTTTTTTTTTAAAGCTCTTATATCCTGAATCCCAGATCCAGGGCTTTCCATTCTGCCACATTTTCTCCCTAAGAATTACTTCCAAGTGTCTTCCCTTTCCAAATCCCAGCTGTCCCCAACTAATTTTCCCAATAAATGTTATCTAGTTCAAAATTATTACTTCTAGAGATTGGAATATCAATGTGGCTATTTCATTAAAAATTACGGTAGTCCAGCCAGAGTGGCTCAGTTGGTTGTCATCACATGCACTAAAAGGTCACTGGTTCAATTCCTGTCAGGGCACATGTCCAGGTTGTGGGCTGGATCTCCGGTAGGGGGCAGGCAGGAGGCAGCTGATCAGTATTTCTCCCTCATGTTGATGTTTCTTTCTCTCTCTCCCGCATCCCTTCCTCTCCCTCTAAAATCAATTAATAAACATATTTCAAAACATTTCTGTAATTACTGTAAAACTGATACTACTATGGCATTCTTGTAAAAAAAGAAAAAAAAACTAATAAACTAATGCTCAGGTTGTAAACTAATTGTGTGAAAAGTTCAAGAAATGAGTCAAGCCCTGGCCAGTTTGGCTCAGTGGTTAGAGTTTTGGTCCACGGTCCAGAAAGACCTGGGTTTGGTTCCCGCTACAGGCATGTACCTTGGTTGCAGTTTGTCCCCAGCCCTGGTTGGGGTCGTGCGGGTGGCAACCAGTCGATGTTTGTTTCTCTCTCTCTCTCTCTCTTTCTCTCTCTCGCTCTATGCAAAAATGTCCTCGGGTGAAGATTAAAAAAAAAAAGAAATGAGTCAAGAGATTATATCCTCTTCACAAGATATGGCCAGGGCACTGTACAACCCATCTGGAACTGTGTATAGTCTTCATGAGCTATAAAAGCCAGGCCAGGTAAATGAAGGGTAAGGCAACCTGTTGATTCTTAGATAATAAAAAAGTAGAAGCACAAAGTACACCTGACCAAATACATCCAACAAAATTTTTGCAAAATGTCTGAAACAAATATAGCTTAAAACTTTACACTACAGAAATTAAGAATTTGAACTGTTTATTTTAGCAGGCAAATTAGCCAAAAAGTGGGTTTCTCTTTGTGTCGGTATAGGCTGATAAGAGTATATTTATTACCAGCAGGCAACTGGCCTGTGAAGATAACTTTCAGCATAAAAAAAAAAATCAATTCCACAATCAGAGCCCAATTTCAACTTGGCAATTAAACTTGGCACAAGCCCTAGCTCAGTTGGTTGGAGCATCGTCCTAACATGCCAAGGTTGCAGGTTCCATCCCCAGTCAGGGCACATACAAGAATCAACCAATGAATACATGAATAAATGAAACAAATCCACATTTTTGTTTTGTTTTTTTCTTTCTCTCTTTCTAAAATCAATCAATTTCTTAATTAAAAAAAAAATCCACAGTACACGTTAGACTCAGGAAAGGGAGATCTAGTCCCTCCTGTTCTTTTGAGGCCATATTAAACTGCTAAGACACATGAAATACATGGAACTGTAGTTCTAAATGAACAACCCAGAACATTTTCTTCATTCTAAGTGGTACTCAACCATCAACGTGGTCTTAAATAGTTTAATTATGTAAGACAGACTTAAGGATGAAGTTTCTCTATGCAAGTTATTGTTCCCACGAACATGTTTTTCTCCCCTTTATTGATTTTAGAGAGAGGGAGAGAGAGATAGAAGCATTGATCAAAGAGAACATCAACTGGCCACCTCCTGGCTCCCCAGCTGGGAATCGGGCCCACAACCTGGGCATGTGTCCTGACCAGAAATCAAACGGGAGACCTCTTGCATAGGTCGTCGCTCAACCAACTGAGCCACACCTGCAGGACCCAACATGTTTTTAATATCGCTGCTTTCATTCTTCAGTACTGAAAACATAACAAATGTTGTCTTCCTAGATTGTCTTAAGCTAAAGCAATCACACCAGCATCATCAGCAAGCCGCAAAACACAGAACACAGGGCTTTTATTTTGATGAGTTTATCAGGGCTAAGTCTGCAAAGAGGCACAGCAGTGGTGGAGCCCGCGAAGGCGCGTCATCACACGCCCTGCACAGCCCGAGTGACAGCGGCTACAATCACGGCCACGACACTGGGCACACAAGACGAGGAGGGATCCAGGACCAAGACGGGATTCACCAAAGACTCTCCACATGGGCAAATGAACAGCCTTTCAGCATCTCCCTTAGAAAAACTATCCATCCCCTTCCCTAGCTTGATCAGAAATCATCAAATAAGTCTACTGGGTTCTTTCTCCTGCATTTTCCCCGAAGAGATTTTCGGGGAGAAAATTCCAGGATCGAGATTGATCACCTTACATCAGGGCGATAAAAACGCACCTTTCGACAAAAAGAAGGAAGCCCCGCGCACCTACGTGAACGCCGACGTCCCAGACCCCTCGCGAGGCTGTCGGCCTAGCGGTGCAGGCCCACGCGGGCCGCGGGCGGGAGGCCCGGCTTTAGTGGCTCTCGGCGTGGCCCGCCTTGGGCGGGGGCTCAGGGCGGCAGCGCCCCACTGGGCTGGGGCGGGCACCTGCGGCCGCGGCGACCTCAGGCTTGAGGTCGGCCCGCGCCGGTCCTTCCCTCGCCTCCCGCCGCCGCCCGCGCCTCACCTGCGGGCTGTCCTCCAGCGTCTCTTCGATAGGCAGCTTGTCGATCCCAGGCATCGTGGCGGAAGAAGGGCAGCGGCAGGAGACGCGGTGGCCGCCCACAGTTCCCCACGCCGACCCACCCACAGCAGCTGACCCCGACCCACCCTCTCCCGCAGGCTCTGCAGCCGCCCCGCCCGCACCCGCGCAGCCCTCGCTAGGAGCCAGACGGTCAGGCGGGAAATCCCGCCCCTTCGGTCTCCCTGCCCCGCCTCCCGGCACGCTCATTGGCTCTCGACGACGCCTGTCAGCGCGGTGGGGCTGGGCGCGAGGTTCCTTTGCCTCCTGGGGCTCTGCGGTGAGTGCGGGCCTCCCAGGCGGCGCTCCCACTTTCCAGCGGGCACCGACCGTGCGCGCTCGCGGGTCGGATGTAAATTGTGGGGGCCCGTCTCCCATCACCGCGTGCGTCGCCGGGAACCAGAGCTTCCAGCGAGGACAACATTGGGGATTTGGGGGCGGTTTTAGTTCTCCCTCAACATTTGTCGTCAGAGGCCGTGGAAGAGGCCCTACTGCTGTTGCCTTTTTTTGTTTGTTTGTTTGTTTGTTTCTCAAATTAGAACCTTCCCAACCCTCCCCGAAGCATCCATTTCCCCCTTCCAGCAGAGTGATGCTGGCTAACGCAGAGGTCTGTGGGGTCCGAAGTGGTCATTTACCGGGCTCCCGGTTCATGGAAATGCGTGGACAGTAGACTTGAAATTATTTTTCTGGATACTTAGCTTAAAACATGTGACTTTGTTTCCAAACCATCCATTCTTGGGTCTTGAAGGACTGACAAGCCACAATTTAGACTTCCAGATGTCTTTTAAATCACAAATGAAAACACCTTTTTAAAAATCAGAGTACACTAGTTTGTTATATTGGTAAATGATTAGCATTTCTGTTTGGTGAAAAAGTTTTGGAAGAAACCCTCAGTAGCTTCTTCAACATCTAATTTTACAGTAGAAAAAAGTGAAGCTCAACTACTAGAACTCAATCTGGATTAGAACTCCTGCTTCTTTGAGCATCTTTCTCAACCTCACACTGCCTCATGTATTCCTCTGTAGAGGTACAAGCTTTCATTACAGATAAAATGGCAAATCATTAGTGTCTTCTAAAAAATCTAGCCATTAATCCCACCAATCCATCCCATTTTCATTCAAGAAATGCTGAGTAAAGATTATTAGTTGCCTGGTTCTACAGATACATTGGCACAAATCCAGATACAGTGGAACAAACTCAGATACAATGACAGGAATGGGAGTTAACATATTTTCAACTAAAATGCTAAATTTTCCCAAGATCTCTTAAAGAAGGATAAAATCAGTTTTTAAATGCTTTATCAGGTAGACTTGCAGTAGTTTCACAGAATTATCCTTACTGTTAAAAGCTTTAAATAAAAGTTCTCCCCTCAGATCATTTATCAACTAGTCACCCTCTAGCAAAGATCTTTTGTGTCATTGGTTCCCAACTAGAAGTACCCCCACAGCAGTTACAGATCCCAGCAATCCCAGTCTGTCCTTCCATATTTCTTGTTCACTCTGGCAGCACAGCAGCATGCAACCGGGCTCTAAAGAAGGAAGACTTTCAAGGTAAGGGAACTTCTTGGCTAAACTGTTGATTTAGACTATAAGTGAAGGAAAAGAAAAGTAGTGGCAATTGATAAGAATCAGGAGTAAGTGACAAGTGAAAACAAAGTGTAAGAAAGAAGAGTGATTCTGTGGTGTTACTGAAGAGATTTGGCCAGTTGGCCAAACCAAATAATTCCAGTGAAAAATTCTATTAGGTATCTGAATTATCTGGGTGGGGTATTATCATCAAATTAAATGGTTTCCTGCTTTGAATGTTATGTGTATCTAAACTGTATTTTTATAATGGATTCTCAAGAGGCAAGGCATTCTTATCAGGGAGTGGCAAGAAATTCTTACCAGTCTCTGCTGATTAAAAAAAATGAAACAAACAAGAACAAGTTGACTTCAATTGGATGGAGAGGCAGTTTAGTAAAATTATAAAACTAGAAAGAACCTTCAAAGGCCTTCTATTTGGATCTTGTATCTTTAGGCTACTGTACACTCTGCTCATCCAAAAAGATTATTATATTTCCTCTTTTAAATCATCTCTAAAGCTGCAGAATTAGTGTCCTTTGACAACCAATTTAAGTTGAATAAACCTAAATTCTGTACAGTTGACTAAACTCAGTTCCTTTTATACAGGAAATGAGGCTTGTTCAGAGAGAATGCCTCAGGGGTTACTGGAGACTCACTTGTGGGTAGCCTAGTGAAAACTTTGGCCAGCTGGTTAATTTTATGGAAGGCAAGGTAGGATTAAACAGCACTCACCAAAGAATTCTTTGAGACGTTTCACACATATAATTTACAATAAAAGGAAATACGATCCTGTAAATAGATTTGTTAATTATTAGTCTCCTAAAATTATATTTGATCTTATAATTAGGTTTTTACATGATACTCCTTGAAGTTCTGGTCTGTGGTCTATAATAGGAAAGAATCCAACAACACAAATGATGCTGATGCTTTACTTTTCAAAATTATCCCCCTAGGTTATACAAGTCATCTAGGGAAGGTTGTTAGAATACAGATTTCTTAGCACAGCTGGAAGATTCTGATGCCAGAGGTCAGAATGGGGTGGGAGTCTCCCCAGGTGAATTAAAGCAAATAAATAATCCTCAAAGCATATGTTGAAAAACTCTATCCAAAATGGAGAATAACCATTTCCTTTCCAAAATAACCTTGTATTTTAGAAAATTTCAAAAGGCAAATAAACATTTAGGAAAGGAGTAGGTTCCATCTGAGAATAGCGAGAGGGGCGCCATTTCCAGAATCACCTGGACAGTGTGGGAATCCTACTCACAAGTATCCCCTGAAAGACCCAATAAATCTGAAATTCTGAGGAATTCATACTCCTTTTAAAACTTTAATGTATAATGCAAATAGTTCTAGATGTTCCCCAGTAAATCACATTTTAATGGACTCACTTTAATAGATCATTCCATTGTTTTCTTAAGTTCTTTTTAAAATGTTTTATTTGTTGTTTTGAGAGAGAGGGAAACATCAACTTATAGTTCCACTTACTAGTGCGTTCGTTAGTTGATTCTTATTCAAAATAATATGTTTTTATTGATTTTGAGAGAGAGAGGAAGGGAGAGGGAGAGATAGAAACATTGATAACAGCCCTGGCTGGTTTGGCTCAGCAGTTAGAGCCTTGGCCTGCGGACCAAAGAAGTGCGGGTTCAATTCTGGTCAGGGGCATGTACCTCAGTTGTGGTTTGGTCCCTGGCCCTGGTTGGGGTCATTTGGGAGGCAACCAATAAACATGTAGATTTCAAAAAGAGGTAGATAGGCAGCAAGAACCAACAGATTCTTCATTGTGCCACTGCAAACCATTCTTTGCCTTTGACCTTTTTTTTTTTTTTAATCCTCACCCAAAGACATTTTTGCATTTATCTTCAGACAGAGTGGGAAGGAGAGGGTGGGGAAGAAAGAGAGAAACATCGCTGTGAGAGAGAACATTGAGTGGTTGCCACCCACACAACCCCAACCGTGGACAAACTGCAACGGAGATACGTGCCCTTAGTGGGAACCGAACCCAGGCCTCTCCGGTCCGCAGGCCAACGCTCTAACTGCTGAGCAAACTTGGCCAGGGCTCTGGCTTTGACCTTGATGTTGATATTGTTTTTGCTCTTTGCCACAGCATCCTTAAAATACAAGGCAAATTCTTTAGCTTCTACTTTCTTGACTGTAAAAAATATACAACTTTATTCCTAGAATAATTGTATGTGCTTCTGTTTCTTTTATGGTTGCCTTGGTTCCATTTTGGAAGAAGAGGACATTACTAAATTTAGTTCTTTGGCCAGGCCAAGAACTTTGAAACAAAGCAGAGTCCTTCTCATTTCTGTGGGGAAGTGGATAAAAGCCTGAGCCTGAGTTCATGGACATGGACAGTGACATTAACCTAGCCATCTTTGAATCCTGGCTCCACTCTTTTACCAGTTCTGTGACTTTGTGTCTCCATCTGTCATCTGAAAAATGGGGCCTAATGTAGAGAACCTACCTTATAACAATGTGAAGATGATTAATGAATTTTCAGAATAGTGCAAAGCACAATAAGTATTCAGTAAAAAACAGCTTATTTTAATTGCTTAATATTAAATATTGTAATGCTTTTAAGGCGGCTTTGTTTTCTTTATTTTTCCATTTTTTTCATATATAAAGAAACCAATATTTTCTAAGTTAGAATATTGTGCTCATTCTTTTAGAGAACCCTGATACTATTTTAAATGACATTACCATTACCCTTGCTAATGTTTTATCACTTTGACTTAGTGGCTTTTATGACCAAATCAAAAATTTTAAAATCAATAAATATGTATTGTGATATTCTGGAGAACAGTTATAGGTACAAAAAACAGCAAAGGCTATTATCCTGTTTTGGGGAATAGGCAGGGGGAAGGGGGAAATGCCCTAAGGTTAAAAGACATATGACTTCTTAATACTCCTACCCCCACTAGAATTCTGGGGCAAGTCAGTGGAGAAAAGCGTACCCTTAGAGAAGTCAGTATTTTTCATACTGTTCATTGAAAACATTTTAATTTTTACAGAACCACAGAGGGCAGTAAAAAAACAAACAAAAAACCAGTGAGAATTTGATTAAACTGTGGCTAATGCAAATAAATCTCAGGGTTAATCAGCGCATCCTTCCAAGAACACTAGGTGGTGCTATAAACCTAGTTTTGAGATTCAAAGTATTACCTTGGGAAATGGTTGTCTTCAACAAATATTTACGCACTAGGTAATGAACAAACTATTAAATATCTCTGCCCTTGTGGAGCTACAGTTTAGTGGGGATGGTGAGGAGAAAGAAAAATGATAAAAATAAACATAGTAAGTCATTAGAAGTACAGTATATTAGAAAGTGACAAGTGCTATAGAAAATAGAGCCAGGAAAATGGAGTGAGGAGGCAGTTACAATTTTAAATAGGCTCACCAGGGCTGAGGTCCTGACTTAAGGCTGGAGTGGTCTGGCCTGTTTCAAGAATCACATAGAGACCAGGGTGGCAGGAGAGTAGGTAGCCAGGGGAAGTCTGACCTGGGAGAGGAAGGAAGAGAAGTCCAGATTGTGTGAAACCTTGTGATCTATTGTGAGGACTTTGACTTTTACCTGGTTTTGGATAAAAACACCTTTAATAGACATTGTGACTTGAAAAAATGTTGAGGAAACTGAATTAATTAGTAATATCAATTATGGGCAAGTTAATATTGTCTGTAGTTAACTTGGTAGTTTATGATCGTTTTTTAATATAATCGTAATCACACCTCACAAAATTAATATTCATTACTATCTTCTTGAATCATGAATTTGAATTTCTTGATCAAGATTAGATCATGATTAGAGCAGAAATTATTTTATTTCCTGGGTATCTAGTGCACCCCTGATATATGCTCGAGTTCAATAAATGTTTGTTATTATTCAAAAGTTTGTTTTTTGTGTGTGTGTTTTTAAATCCTCGCCTGAGGCTATTTTTCCATTAATCTTCAGATAGAGTGGGAGGGAGAGAAACATCGATGTGAGAGAGACATTAATTGGTTGCCTCCCACATGACCCTGACCAGGGCTGGGGAGCGGACCGCAACCAAGGTACGTGCCCTTGACTGGAATCGAACCCGAGATTCTTTGGTCCACAGGCCGGCGCTCCAACTGCTGAGCCAAACCAGCCAGGGCCAAAAGTTTGTTTTTCTTAAGTTGATAAGAACCATAACATTTATTCCCTAGAAACAATGTTATAAATACCAATCAGGTTCTCCCATTTAATCTACAGTAATTAGATTAAATGGCACTAAAGTGTAGGCCTGAACCCCTCAGAGCCCTAAATCCTAAACTGTTTTATCTTTGAATATTGAGTCTGGGGAGACCCTGAGTCTAATTTAGCCCAGCCCTGAGCTGCCTTATTCTTACTGTCAATCTGGGGAGGACATAGGGACAAGGGCTAGACTGGGTGGGAGTGTTCACTGATGAAGATTTCTTAGAAGGATGCAGCATGCACCAAAAAAATAATATCCTCTTCCAAGAAATGTTTCCATGGAAATACTGCATGTGTGCAAACATGTATGTGCAAGGTATTCATTGTCATAATGTTTGTTATAGTAAAAAAGAATTGGAGACAACCCTAAGTGCCCATTATCAGGGGTGTTGTTCAATAAATTATGTTTCATCCACTGATGTCTAGTGCCAAGCAACTGTAGAAGAATGAGATAGAGCTATAGGTAATGACACGGTGTGTAGGGCGGGGTGGGAGGGGCAGTGAACAGCTGACTCCATGAGGATAAAAACGTGTCTGTGGGCGCCCATCTACTTATGTGAAGGTATTTTTAAAAGACAGGAAGGAAAGGCACTGAACTGTTAGTAGTGGTAACCAGTGGGTTAGAGAGTAAAAATGGGGTAGAATTGAAGGAAACTATCATATTTTACTCTATTACTGTGGTATTGAGTGAATCTTTTTAAAATAAAAATGCATTTGTGTTTCAAATGATTTTTATATCCTTTTTTTAAATCAAGGGCCTACTATGTGCCAAGCA